GGCACCAGCATCCAATAAAGATTAAGGAAACTCAGTCTGTAACTGCATTTAGATTAAGGAATCATTGAAGATTTTATGACAACAAGGGAACAGCCCCTTTCCCAACATTTACCACTTGTCAACTTTCAGAAGCTTTGAGTCGGCAGTAACATTTCTTAGACAGATGTCTCTAAATTTTAAGGTAATTCAAAGGTCTTTGGAAAAAATAAAGAATGCCTAAAAATACTTACTTCTGACAGATTTATTTTTTTAAAAAAGAGTATCTTTAGTCCAAACTTATTTGAAGTCATATCTTAAGATACTTCAAGCATTTTAGTCAATGCTTAAAATTTTCTCAAGACATCATTTACAACATAACTTGCCAATTAAGAGTTTTGTTTAATATACTTAAGATATGTTTGTTGAAGTATGTATTTGTATGTTATTTTATTTCTATTTATTTTCATGATAATTTTGGCATTTTAAAGGTATGAAGTAGATTTCCAGGCATTGAGAGCCCCAGTTTATAACCTTATGTCTACAAGAAATAAGGGTTTGATTTATGTGAACTTGCATTTTAAACAGCCAGGAATCGTTTAGATCATAAGTCAGAGATCATCCTCTCAAAGTGGTTCCCAAATATCTGTCTCTGAATTGGTTTCACTAGAGATACCTGGGATGGTTGGATGGTTTGGTTTATTTTTTATAAATGAACTCCCAGGAGCTCATAGTCAAGATGGGAGTGTTATGACTTATGAACATAATAGATAATCATAAACTGCTTTTATGTACTATTTAAGTATTTATTTAAGGGCCCAATAAGGAGTTTAGAAATTTAACATGGTTTAAAGGAATAGAGCCCAGATTTAATTTTGTCATTGTCCCAAAAACTAACCTAAACAATACCAATGCTGAAGTCTGAGCATGGTGCTGCCCTTCTCGTGGCCGGAAGCTTTGGAAAGGTTTTTCATTCTCTGGCAAGCAACATTTTATGCTAACATTACTATGACTAAGCTTCCTTGAGGTTTTAGATTCATTCTGTAAGCCTTCTATCACTATTTCTATACTCGACCCATGATAGTGACCACTGAAATAGTCAAAGAATATTTTACTTGTAGGTCTTGAAACTGCATAATATTACTCAGTCAGAAGCATCACTAGCTTTACCTACAATATTCCTCCTACTCCTTAATGCCCTGAGGCCATACTGACAAAATTAATTGGAAAAAAATATGTCTTAGGAGAGAAAGTAGGGGGAAAAAGTTGGGTACAGAGAAACTGAGATGGGGGAGAGGGGCTTATGATACAGAGCACATGTTCCTCATTAACAAGCACTGAATATGATGTCACACCTTTCCTTACCAAGAAGACTCAACTTCAACCTTTTCTTTGCTTTTAGCTGTGCTATGGTCTGCATGTGTGTTCCCTCCAAAGCTCATGTGGAAGCTTGATCCCCAACGTGGTAGTGTTGGGAGGTGGGGTGTTTAGGAGATGATTGGATCGTTAGGGATATGCCCTCATAAGTGAATTAATCTATTCATGGGTTAACAGGTTAATGAATAAAGGGGTTATCACAGGAGTGGCACTCATGGCTTTATAAGGAGAGGAAGAAGCATGTTACTGTACTTTTGTACCTTCACCATGTGATATCTTGCACTGCGTTGGGACTCTGCAAAGAGTCCTCCAGGAAGAAGGCCCTCACTAGATATGTTCCCTCACTCCTTGGACTTCACAGCCTCCAAAATTTTTCTTTTCGTCATATATTACCCAGTTTCAGGAATTCTGTTATCAGCAACAGAAAATGGACTAATACAACATAAAAGTATTGCTTTATTTAAGTCCAAAATACACACTTACGAAAGAAATGGTGAATTTCCTTCCACTCATGTCATAAGTTCATGTCCAACGCAGCATTTTGTGTACAGATTACAAATTTTGCTTTACAATTTATGAGAGTCCGAAGAGACACAGCTTGAATTTTCAGTTTGTGGGTTGAGCTTGCAGCACGGGAGACAGAACAAACTTTGGACTTTGAAATAAATCCAACTTGAAAATCATCAAAGGGAACAAATTGAAAGTTAACAATTAAACCTATACAAGGCTAGCCTGAGAAAACACTGTGAAGGTCTAAACATGAAGATTTGTGTTCAACTCACACACCTACTGCCTCCTAATATATCCTACTCATGCTCCTGCAAAGCATGTCTTATCCCTCATACCTTTTTTGTTTGTTTGACCTCATACCACTCCCTTCAGCAAATCTTATCACCCCTGAAAGCACCAGTTTTCCAAGACCATGTTTCTTCTTCTCACTCTCTTTTAGTACTACACACATTTTAACAATGGCTTTGGGCATTATAATTTATTCTCAAATAGTGACTTTGACACTAATATTTTCAATTTGTCCTGAGGGAAAGCAGTCCCAAAACAGATTGGTAGTGGAGAAAGTGTCAACAAGAGTCATCTTTGTCAACCCTGAATGATACTGGATGGCCACCTACCTCACTTCCAGAGAGTAGGCAAAGGTAAGTTGAATATGAATAAATTTCTTAAGTAATTTTGTTAATGATGCTTCTATTGAGGACAAAACAATGCTGGCCCTGAATGATCCTTATTATTGATATACTCATACATAGCCCTGTGTTATTGAATAATTACACACCTCTTTCCTTCATTTTTCCCATGCTAACCTGATGACTAAATAGTTTATTCCCTGTGCTAACTTTGATGACAAAATTGTTTACTTTTATTTGATAGACACATGATTTAGTTAGTAAAAAGAGGCAATGGACTAGACAAAGGAGTCAGAGGAGTTCTAGGTCCTCTTGTTCTCTTAGAGTTGAACTGTGTCAAATTACCAAATTTCTCTGTATCTCATGTTGCTCTTTTGTAAAATGAAAATAAAAAATATCTCATATTATTGTTCTAGAAATCAGATGGTAAAATAAACATAAAAGGGCTTTGCAAAACATAAATTTCTACACTTATAGATCATTAGTTATCATGTTTCTGTCCCCGAAGGGAGTTAAATTTGCATTAATTCATCTACTCCCTCTAAAGCAGTCCTCCTCCTTGAAAACAACTTTAAAAATTACTTTGTAAAATAGGTGGCTTGAATTAGAGATATGGCTAGAACAATGATACTGTCTTTGAAAGGAAATAGATGTACAGTTTTGGAAAGTGAGACCACACAAGGAAGCAAGTGGTCCCACTGCCCTCACATATATAGTTTCAAGAAGAAGCAGTTGAACTGCATGAACACTGAGTGGTTGACTGGTAAGATCTGCTTATGTCCAATCAGTTGACTCTCATTTGTGGAATGTTATTAGATCACTAGCATCTAATAGGTGGATGAACTCAGTGCTGTCAGGATGAACAGGTGTTTCACAGCTGGGAGCTGCCAGAGAGCCAAGGAGCAAAAGTAAACCAGGTTTTCTGAAATTAGCTCTGGTGATTCTAATTTTAAAAAACATTACTCCCTAGAGAAATGTTTCAAAGGATATACAGGGCACCTGACTTATACAGGACTGAACATACCACTGGAAATTTCAAAAGGGAGAATTTTGTTTCGTTGTAACCACTGAATGGTAGTATATTGAATTCCATCTCTATAGTTGAAATTACATCTCCATACAAATTACAACTCACAACTCGATCTGTAGTTTAATATCTTGCACAGAATTGCCATAATTATGTCTATAAACTACCCCAATCATGATGAACAAAGATGAAACAATGCTGTGCTTATTTTTAAATATTTGTCTGGCACCAGCTGATCTCAGCCAAACTATGAGCTCAATTCTCTGCTCTAATGGTGAGAAGTGACATAAAACTATCAAAGACAACCTTTAACAGCACAATATACGTTTAAATACTGAGTTTCAGATTACACTTCCAGAAGAAATGTTCTATTTATGTCTTGTATTTGATAAAATGATTAGTTCTCCAATGAAGGAGGACTCTGCTTGACACTGTTCCAGCATTATTAGCACTACTTTTTCCAAGTTGCCTCATAAAACCTTGGATAAGGCAACCAATTTCCATCTAATACGACAGGGTGAATTTCATGTAAATAGTTTCTTTCAGGTTACTTAAGAAATGTGTGATAAAGATCTTATACTAAGTAAAATATGGACTACTCTGGACTGTCTCTGCAACTACAATGGATGTTCTCTTAGGCAAGAACTCATTTCAGTGCTCCTGCAATTACACCCGAGATGCCCCTCCACTGCATAAGTGCTCAGTCCTAATTAGGTATTCACTGACTAATCACTGAGTGCTCATTGTTTCCTGGGGGTTATTTCACAGACTCCTGACCTGAAGCCTCTCAGAGTTATTCCAAAGTTAACCAAGTGTGTGCTTTCCTCTATGAGAAAGAGGTGAGAGGAAGAAGAAAAACTAAGATACTGGCAGTCCAGCTTTAGCACAATGCATGCAGTTTTTCTCTCATCTTAAAATACTCACATTTCCCTTCAAAGTCTTAAAAATGTTTGGAAGTAGATAAGCTTCAATCATACCTAATTAGTAGCTGCCTTCTAGAAGTAATAAACTGGATGCTTTGGAGAATTCTCCCCTGCCTTTTTATTAAAGCCACAAGTCATTTACATCTAACACCCGCCCCTCTGGGGGAGCCCCGCCCCGCCCCGCCCCGCTATCTCATATTATTGTTCTAGAAATCAGATGGTAAAATAAACATAAAAGGGCTTTGCAAAACATAAATTTCTACACTTATAGATCATTAGTTATCATGTTTCTGTCCCCGAAGGGATCTTGCATTCTCAAATGTCGTGGGCCAGGGCTATCGCGAGACTTCAACTGTATTCCCCAGACGGTCTTTAACTGTGTGGACTTGCGCAGAAAAAAGCAATGAAGCCAGTGCGGGAATAAAGGGGCGGGACGATACGACGTGCGCGTTCATCTTGACCCCACGCTCCAGTGCGCGCCCTGCAGCTAGGCGCTGTGGTTTCTGGGGCCCCTGGGAATCCCGACACAACCCCGCGTAAAGCGCGCGTGCCCACCTCAGGCGGATATTCCGTGGGTGGCGAATGCGTGCCCGAGATCAGAGGGGGCATTAGAGGGCCCTGGGCCTGGTGCAGAGAGACTCAAGAGGCTTGAAGAGCCAGCCTAGGTAGGCGCTTGGGTGATGGAAGGTCAGGGGTCAGAGGTCGGGGAGGGAAGAAGCCTCTGGCCTCCGGGGCACTGAGGGAGAACGAATTGTCCCGGAGCCCGGGAAGCTTAAAGTCTGAGAGGGAGTCCCAGCACGAGTCTCCCCGACCCCTCCCCGTCGCGGACGTGCGGGCCTTTGGGCCGCCGAGGCTCTCCCGGGAGAAGGTGGAGCCGTGGGAAAGGAGGCCGCGCTTCTCTGCGTGGACTGGGGCCTGCGGTGCACAGTCGAGCGTCCGCACTCGAGTGTGCCGGCGGCGGTAGTCGAGCTCCTCTGCCTCGCGGGAACCTGTTTGCCCGGCTTTCTGGGAGTGATCCGGCGCTGACGGCGTGGCTCTGACTGCCGAAGGCGCTTTGGGGTTATCCGGAAGATAACTGAGTGGGTATCACCGTTCGCCGTCGATGTGCCCCTGGAGGCTAGAACCGGGCGGCCGCCTCGCTTCTTGGTGCGCGGGATTGTATGAACTAGTAAAAGAGAAGGCAGTTCTCAGTTTGAAAGTTGAAAGTTCTCAGTTACCTTTGGAGCCCTGTTCACTACATTTGCGCTCAAAACCGCCCTTATGCGTTGTACATATTGACTCCGTGGTAGTTACTGCTAGGTTTATGAACGAAGATACTGTGTTATCTGATGATTGACAGGCGCTCAGATAATACAGTATTATTAAATAATTACCGTTGGGCTTGTACCTTTTTCCCAGTGGCTTGACATTAGCACGAGGTAAAAATCCTAGATATTTGATGTTTTCCTACTAGTACTTAAATTAACTTGCGGCTTTAACTGAGCAAAATTAATTAATTTTAAAGACATTACTTATATTTTTAATTAATCCAATGGGCAATAGCAGGAGTGATGAAACTCTCTGTAATAGAAATGATCCATAATATTTGTACTGTCACCAAAAAGCCTGTTGGTTTATGATCAACTGAACGTGCTAGAAGCAGAGCAGTAGGGAACAGTATTGGGATAATTGTATCTGTGCTGGAGAACTTGCACTTCCTGGAGCTTTGAAGGACCAGTTAACCGATCAGCTGGCAATAGAGAATAAAATACTTTTCTTTTGAAAAATGCTACTATTTATCTGCTTTGGCCAGTCTAAAGAAACTGGACTTACATAATTATAAAAACAAATCTTTTATTAAGAGATTAGGCTGTGAAGATTTGGGGGAAACAAATCTGCTGGTAAAAAGCTTGTTATGAGGGTATTTTTCAGGTTTATGTATTTTTTAGGTTTCAGTAGAGGAAGATACTGTCACCTTGCTGGAGTTAACACTAGAAAAGGAAAAGACAGTGGTAATGCTAGGTCACTTTTCGATCTTCAGTAACGATTGGACTTCACTTGCATAAGGGAACACCTTGGACAGCAGTATGGCAAATGTATACTCCTTGTTGCCCTTGATAGCCTGAACACAGGTCTACCATGGATTTGTTGTAATTCAGGATTTGTATGTATCTTTTAAAGAAGAAGTAATAATTTGGAGGGAAAAATGTGAATTTAAGTTTAATACATATTCATTTGTTGTATTGTCTTAGTAACAACATTTTATGTTTATTTTTCTAGCAATCCATTTTGTTTTCTATTAAAAAACAATTCAGTCAGTTTTCTCTGCCTCATTCTGGGCCAGAAATAGTAAAGAATAGTTTCATATTACCTATAATCTTGTAGAATGTGGGTAAGAGAGATCTCTCCAAAAAGAAATGTGAGTAAAGTACTGTTAGGTCCTTAAAACAAGGGAAGGTGTTCATGGAGTTAGAGATCTTTGTTTCACCTTATTTTGTATATCATTTACATCCTGGTACTGATCTGGCATTGGGGTATAAAGCTGAATGGGATATTATTTCTGCCCAGCTTTCAGGTAGTTCAAAGTGAATAGTGTAGCAGTTGGTATCCAAGAGGAGAGAGAGCAGCTGGGATCAAGGGATCAAGGAGGAGCTGAGAGACTCAGCTTCCGTGGTCATGGAAGGCTTTCCGCAGAAGATGGGAACAGCAACAGGCAGAAAAATATGAAAGGGTATTTCAGGTAAAAGGCTTTTTATATTCAGATTCAGTGTAGTAGAAGTGTGGTCTATCTAGAAAACTTTACATAATCATGTTTTACCCAAACACTGATATATAAGGATCAGGAAGAAGTAGAACCATCAAAGGTGTGATTCATGAGATGTGAGGAAAACTAGGGAAAGGATATGAGATATGGTTAGAGATAGAATTTCACCAGTACTTGACTTACTTGGTGCCAATTAGCATTTTGGTCGTAAGTGTCTTCAGTGTCTTTGACCAAATAATAACATTTTTAGTTCGAGAAGTTATCCCTGGGTAGAGATACTTTATGGAAAGAGTCAAACAAAACCAGATGATTTTTTTTTTAAAAAATCATGAATGCTTGCTCAGTTGAGAATTGAACAAAGGGAAATCCTTGCTAGAAATCCTGGTATTTACTTTTTTACAACTTATCATTGATAAATACCTTGAGGCTCTAATGTTAGAAGAGTTTTGTTGAAGGCAAACATCTGAAGGAATGTGTATAATGGTACACATAATTTAAAATATGCTGGATGGGTCTTACCAAAGAAAAGAATAAATAGTTGAAGAAAAATGTTCTGGGCCACCAATATCTGTTACAAGATTGTTGTAAGAAATAATGGCACATATCACTTCTACTCACATTCCATTGGTTAGAACTGGTCATGGGACCATGCTGTTCTGGACAGCCATTCTTAACTGCTTATATGCTTTGTAAGAAAAGTGGATTTTAGTAGGTAGCTGGTTATCCATAACAAAGTTTCTCAAACTTAGCTGCACACTGGAATTTTTTAGGGAGCCTAAAAAATAATGGGGGGTACCGCCTGGGCCTTACCCTCAGACATTCTGATTTAATTATCTGGGGTTCTACCTGGGCATCAGGATTTTCAAAAGTTCCCCAGATTATTCTCTTGTGTAGCCAAGTTTGAGAAGCTCTTGCCACATTAAAGTTTGGTTACTGTGAAAGGTAGTTTAGAGTATTTTCAGGACGATAATGATAGCAACCACCACTTACTGAATACATGCTAGGTTTCTACTATTGTGCTATTGTACTTAAATTATTTCTAACCACAATCCTGCTATCATCCCCATTTTAGAGATGAGGCAACTGCCACAGAAAGAACGTTCACGTAACTATTTCAGGGCCACACAGTTAGTAAATGCCAACACTGGAATTGGAATCTAAGACTTCAAAGCCCACATTCTCTCCTTTTAAGCCACATCATTTTGCAGATGTAAGACTCTATAGCCAGTTTCATTTTTGGCTTTCAGAGTTAGTGATTCTGTAATTACCACATTATTAATATTATTATGGTTGGTGTGATACGTTGTATAACTGGCTCAATTCCCTTTCTACTCCCCCCATCCCATAACCATTTTCTTTGCTATGTTCAGTTCCACCTGGTAAAGAAATGTAATATATTTCCCTACCTCTTGACTTTGGGTCTATCGATGTGAGTTGCTCTGGCCCATGGACCCTTAGTGGTTGTGATGTACCAATAGTTTGAAAAGTATTCATGTGATTAGATTTGTATTCTTACACCCTAGCCACTGCCATAAGAACGTTCCGAGTTACTTTGCTGGTTTGAATAAATAATTGCTGTCTCAAGACATTGAGCTTGGATGGAATACTACTCTGCCGTAAAAAAGAATAAAATTCTGCCATTCACAGCAACATGGATGAACTTAGAGAAAATTACATTATGTGAAATAAGCCAGGCACAGAAAGAAAAATACTGCATGTCCTCACTCATAAGTGGGAGCTAAAAAAAGTAAATTAAAAAAGAGAGAAAGGGGCCGGCCCGGTGGCGCACTGGATAAGTGCGCCGCTTGGGAAGCGCAGCGGCGCTCCCGCCCGAGGGTTCGGATCCCACATACAGACCGGTTCCCACTCACTGGCTGAGCGAGGCGCGGGAGCAACACCGAGGGTTGCGATCCCGTTGCCGGTCCCCGGTCCAGTACGGGGGCAACACTGAGGGTTGCGATCCGTTGCCGGACACGGAAAAAGACAAAAGCCAAAAAAAAAAAAAAGAGAGAGAGAAAGATATAACAATCACAATAATTCGTTTTCAAAAAGAGAGAACAGATCTGAGGCAAAAAAAAAAAACTGAAGTGGGGAAGGGGGAGAGGGACGGGATTTAGTGAGAAATTGGTAAAGGGCCAAAAAAAATGATTACATTGTGATTATACTAATTATCCTAACGAGCATTACATATTACATACAGGTATTTACATTCAGTGCTGGACCCCACAAATATATGCAATCAATTATGTTTCAATTAAAAAAATAGACATTAAGCTTTGGGGTGGTGTATTATACAGCATGTTCATGGCAGTAGTTAACTGCTTAGCTTATAACTTAACTTCTTAAAGTTTCAGCAGAGTGGCCCAATTCTAATATTCCAACCTGTGCTCTAGACAAAGATAAACATTTAGGAAATTAAGGGATTTCTATGTTATTCCGCTAAGATAAAAGAGAGGATAAGATGCTTAAAAAGTAGTTGACCATGGCCAGAGATTGCTTATAAATTGCGCGTTTATAAAGCAAGCACTGGCTGAGGGAATGGAATTCTCATGATTGATTTAGACCTGCACTGTTGGATAGACTTTTTGCAGTTATGGAGATGTTCTAAATTTGTGCTGTCCAATACTGTAACCACTATTCACATACGGCTATTGAACACTTGTCTGTGTTGAATTAGAGTCCATGATTTTATTTTTATTTCTTGCCCTTAAATATAGCACACTGCCGAGTACTTAGTGGGGACCCAGCAAATACCTGGTTGAATTTTATTTAAAAACAGAATTATTGGGCCGGCCCGGTGGCGCACTGGATAGTGCGCCGCTTGGGAAGCGCAGCTGCGCTCCCGTCCGAGGGTTCGGATCCCATATGCAGACCGGTTCCCGCTCACTGGCTGAGCGAGGCGCGGGAGCAACACCGAGGCTTGCGATCCCGTTGCCGGTCCCCGGTCCGGTACGGGGGCAACACTGAGGGTTGCGATCCGTTGCCGGACACGGAAAAAAGACAAAAAAGACAAAATAAATAAATAAATAAATAAAAATAAAAACAGAATTATTGATAATATTTCTTAAGCTGCATTTGAAGCCAAATTTTTGTTTATATATACTTTTTAATTTTTTTTTCAGCTACTAGGCTAGAATAGGTGCTAATCATCGTATGACTATTATCTAATCTCTGTGTGTTCTGTGTTTCATATAGGAATCAGCTGTTGTTTTGAGGAAACTATAGTTTGGAGCTTACCTCATACGGGCTGCTGTCAACCCACTCTCCTCTTTGAGATGACCAGGCTTTCTTTTCTTTTTGTTCGCCCCCCCTACATTTTTTCTTTTTTCTTTTTTCTTTTTTTTTTATTCTGTCTCTGCCCCATTTCCCCTTGTTGATATCACCACCTTATTTTTTGCCCAGCTATTCCTCTTTTCCTTTCTACCTGTTAATCCATAAAAAGAAATACATTTCAGTGTTTTCATTTTCCCCTTTTGAAAAAGAAGATATATTTTCAGGGATTTTTGTAAGGTTCAAGTAAAGTTTTGTTAACACTTTGGTTAAAGTAAAGTTTTAACACTTTTTGTTAACACTATGTAAAGGTCAAGTAAAGTTTTGTTAACAATTTGAGTTTATAAAACAAAATTGAAATTCTGTAGTGATGCTGTGAGTTTGTGTTACTAAAACACTTCAAATAAACATTTCCAATCTATTTGCAAGATTTATCTTACTATTATGTTGCTTATTAAGTGTGTTTTTAGGATTTATTTTATTTTATTCAACAAATGGTCTTTACTACATTTATCCATTAAAGACCAGTAAAACCATTAGAATTTATTTGGAATGTGACATCGTGGTTAGCTGTTTTTGACTTAATAAAAAAGACTACTGATTGCTTTTTATGTATTTCTCTGAAGACTTCATGTTATATGTATGTACTATAAGTTTATGCTGAATTTCTCATCTGGGGACACGTAAATACTGAAATCCTCTCTTAGTATGCCTACTGTTGCATTTGTCTTCTAGAGTTCATTTACCAACCAAGAAAACTTGAAAATGAGCAGCCGACGGAAACGTGCTCCTCCAGTGAAGGTAGATGAGGAAAAGCAGCAACAGCTTCGTTGGAATATGCATGAGGACAGAAGGAATGAACCTCTCACCTTAACTGATGACGAGCACCCCTGTCTGGATTCAGACTCCTCTTCTGCTCATTGCCTCATCCTAGACCATAGTCTAACTGAAGAAGTGGCTCATAGAGGTAAGAAGAGGTGTTTAGCGGCAGTAAGCATCTCAATGTCAATGGAAAAGGAAGAGACTGTTGGGATTTGTTCCCCTTCATCAGTAAAGTTGGATATTGTGATTTCTCCCTATCATTTTGATAATTCTTGGAAAGCATTTCTAGGAGAATTAATTCTTCAGCTTCTTCCTAAACAGAGTTTAATAGAAAATTTTTCCGAAAAGAGTTTTACACTGGTGAGTTCAGAGTCAAGCACTCAGTTCCTGATCTATGTTCATTCGCAATATGAAGATGTAGAGAAACAAGAAAAAGGACACAAAGAACCAACCAATATCTGTGACAAGGGTATTCGAGTGGAATCATCTTTCAGTGGTAAAACGTTAGAAGATTTGGGGTGGCTGCAAAAGAAGAGAAGAATAAAACTTTACCAAAGACCAGAAGGAAATGACATTATCAAGGTACTCAGTTTCTGTGGTGTCTTTTAAAGTTCTTCTACATTGGCAGTCCGTTTTGAAGTTTACTTAGAATAAGGAAGGTCTCAAAAGCCAGCAATTCCAGAGTACACTTTATTTTGGGCTTTCTGTAACTATAAAAAAAAAACGTATGCTACCGGTAATCATTTCTAGACTGTACTTTTTCAAGGGGGTCTTCTTGATTCCTCCTTTTCATCTCTCCTCTCAATGACTTGTTTTGATCTTCATCATCTTTCCCTCTTATCATAGCAATAATTTGACCATTTTCTGTTTCTTATGTTGCCTTTTCAAATCTTTCATCTGCCTTGTCTCTGGAATGGCATGATAAGAAAGCAAATGGAATTCTGTTCTTTACTGCCTCAGAATTAAGTAGTAATCTGGCATATAAGCCCCTCCTTTGATAGGCCCTTGAGCCTAATCCCTTATCACTCTGCTTTTTATTTTGTCCCAGAAATTCCAAACTGATTTGTTTCCTACACATACCCTCTTTCTTTCTGCATCATGCTTTTGCTTTAACAGTGTTCTGTGCTTTTCTTCCCTGATAACCTCTGGCCTTTCTTTAATAATCAGTTCAGCATTTATTTAATCCAGGGAGATCTTTTCCTAAACTCCATGAGTAGTGTTATGTGCCCTCCTCCCAGAATACCTGATGCATATTTTTATTTTTGCCTTGGCCACTTGTAGTGTATTTACATTTTAGATCTTTATTCTTTCTAGACTATGAAGCCTTTCGTCTTCACAGCCTAGTAGAGCACCTGGTACCTAACAGATTTTTCAGTAAATGAATGAGTGAATTTGTATTCATTTCAAGCTCTGCCATTCACTAGCCATGTGAATCATTTAAATGCTCTAATTTCTGGGGCCGGCCCGGTGGCGCACTGTTACAGTGCGCCGCTTGGGAGCGCGGTGGCGCTCCCGCCGAGGGTTCGGATCCCACATACAGACCGGCTGCTCACTGGCTGAGCAAGGTGCGGACGCAGCACCGAGGGTTGCGATCCCATTGCCGGTCCCGGTCCGGTACGGGCGTGACACTGAGGGTTGCGATCCGTTGCCGGTCACGAAAAAAAGACAAAAAGGAAAAATAAAAAATAAAAAAAATAAATGCTCTAATTTCAGCTTCTTCCTGTATGATATATACATAATACCCATTGTCCTTACCTCACAGAATTGTATTAAAAACCAGGTGAGATATGTAAGTAAATGTGCTTTGTCAACTATGAAGTAGGTTAACATGCCTTCATGCTAAAACTTGAAAAGAAATTCTAAAATGTTAGATTCAGCCTTGTTTAACTGGAAACTATCTCATACATTTCTTGCATTAAAAATTAATTGCACCAATAGCCCTATGTATAGCTTCAGAATTGATAGGAGAGGAGAAAATTTAGAAACATTAGATTGCAATTAATACTTCCCTTGACAATTAAACCATAACCAAGCATTGCCTCTCTTTACTGATTGCAAGTGCCAAAATTGTAGCTCAGTGATAACAAGTATGTAAGAATTCATGGCTTGTATATCTGTATTCTATCCACCTCCCTACAAACCATGTCTTGATCTATTCTGTTTTTCCTCCTCTTAATTTTTATAAATATATGAAGATTTATTGCTGCTGTAGTAAGACATCTCCAGATGAACACAAGGCAGGGTACAAATAATAATAGAATATAATCTTTCTCACTCATTCCTGGATAATGCTGGTGAATTCTTGTTCTTTAGTGAAAGCATATGAGAATCTCAGTGATTAGGGAGTCAGGTCCAAGATAGTCTGGGGAAATGGAAACTAACAGTTATTGAGTGTTTACCATTAGATACTTTAAAATTGTATTATTTAGGCTAGGATTCTCTCTGTTTTGTAAATGAGAACATTTGGGTCAAAATAAATCAGTTATTTTCCTTTAGTTTGTTTAGCTCCCAAATATCAATGCCAGTATTCAAATTCAAGTATTTCTACTGCAAAGCTTCATACTACATTGCTTCACTAGAATCAAGATACTTAACATTGACTAAGGTCTGTTTACCTATACATTTTAGTGCTGATCCAGTAATAAGGATTCCCAAATTTAACTGTGCATAAGAATCCTAGCATATACATCAGAATCTTCTGGGGAAATCTGTATTTTTAACAAACTTCAGTGATATTCTCATGCTCATCAGATTTGGAAATCATTGATTTGGTGGGTAGAATTAGGTTTTCTCACCACATTCTCCCAGGTTTGATTCCAATTAGGGAAGTATTTTTATTCATCAACTTCAATAGTGCATTGCGCATAGTATGCACTGTTGTTTCTAGAACAAATTTGTTATTGAAAATGAACATAATGTGAGGAAGATTTGGTAAATATTTAGTGTTTGTGGGGCAAATATTGTGAATACCTTTAAAAATGGTGATGCTAAAAATTTTTTTCTTATGTCCCTCATAAAGAATGGTATATTCCAATTAAAATTATTTTTATGTTTATTAATTCTTTGTAGGTTGGAATTTATCTTTTGGAAGCTGGCCTAGCAAAACTAGACTTTTTAAGTGATGCAAATTCAAGAATGAAAAAGTTCAATCAGCTCATGAAGAGAGTGATGGAAAAGTTATACAATTTTGTTATTCCAGGTAATTTTGAAAGTGAACTTAAAAATTGCTGTTTCTCAGGTGTTGTGGGTTTTTCCTTTAACTCCTAGACATAACCAGAAAAACAGCTAATAAAATCATAATAAAAATTAGGGCTGACAAGTTAGCTCAGTTGATAGAGCACAGTGTTGTAATACCCAAGTCAAAGGTTTACATACTTGTACAGGCCAGCCACCAAAATAATAAATAAATAAATAGATCAATAGATAAATATTAAATGACCTTTATAAAGTCACTATATGAGAAAGTTATACTTATCTAAAATGCCCCTACTAATACAATTGTTTCTTTATTTGCTTAACACTGTGCTTAGCTTATAGTAAGTAAAGAAGTGTTTGTGGAGTCAATATGGAAGTCAAAGGCAGAGTCTAAAGGGATCTGAGCTGGTTGGAATTTTTACGTTATTCCTGTGCTTTTATTTTGTCATGGCCGGAGATTTTTTGGCTGGCCTTTATTCCACCTCTCCTTTGCAGTCTGACAAATAATCTCAAGAGTCTGGTTTCCATACAGACCAAATAACTTTGCTTCCTTTCTTGGCAACACATTGCATCCTCTGTCAGGACTGCAGTTTCAGAGTTGTCTGCCATTGGTCACCAAGAGAGAGTATGGATGGCTTAGTGCAGCCCATCAACACACTGGAAAAATGTCTCAAATTATCCAAGTTCCACTCATGTCAGGTCAGCATTATTTCAGATGCAAATTATAGAACATTTTTATATGGAAATATTTGTGAAATCAATTTTTAAGCTTGGTTGTTGAGTTGTTTCTATGGTGCATTCTTTGCAAAGCTTCATGATATTAGTAAAAGTAAATCCTTTTCCAAGTTAAGAGACTTAAAAGAAAAATCTCCGGTTGTAGAATTGTAAGGAATACTTTCAAGTGCATAAAAACTTTAAGGTATGGTAAGAATCCCATTGTTCTGCCTTTTAAAAGTAATGCAGTTTAAACCTTTTAAGCATGATTTCTAAGGAAAACTTCAAATTTAGTTATAAATACTAGATTATATAAATACAGTAACAGTCTGAAATAACCAAACGTATAACTATTCATTAGTTGTGAAGTTTTGAAAATTCTACATGGCATACTTTTTATTGAAAAGGGTAAGTTATGTATTTTTTTCATGTGATTTTTTAAAAATTCTAGAGCTTATCAGGTATGTCATATTAAAAGTATATAGGCCTCTTTGAAAGTGATTCAGAAATGGCTCACTTTTTTACCTTTGAAGAGTTGTTTTTAATAGAGATTTATGAGCTGAAAAGAGTTAGTAAATATGTTCAAGGTTTTTATTTTTCATGTTATAGCGAACATGAGTCGTCTTCTACAGAATAATTGTGCCCTCCAAATAGACCTGATATTCTTACAAATTGTATTAATAGCTTACACACTTATCTCCTAAATGGCTGCAGCTACCTTTTTTGCCAATGCCTATTCTTTTTTAGCATAAGAAACAGAGTGGGAACGCTTATCTTATTAGGCATAGAAAAATTATGTCTGCATATGGATATTTTATGTTAAGATATAAAAGTGAAATAAGTTATCCTTCTATAAACTGCAAAATATAGTCACATTCAGTTCCACAAATGTTTATTAAACATCCACAATAGGCAAGTCACGTGTCAGCTTTTCTGAGGGGATGTAAAAATGAAAGACTTTACCTTTGCCATCACTGGGGAGAGGAGAAGTACACATAAATGATTGTAGTACCAGATAGTTTGCAATGTGCAGCTATGTTCAAAGCATAAAAGTACTGTATGAACACAGAGGAGAACATTAATTCCAGCCAGGGAAAACAAAAGAAAATGCCATGGAAAAAAGTAGCCATTGAACTGTCTTAAAGAATGGATGGATAGATTTTTGGGTCAGTGAAGAATTAAGGATAGGGCCTTCCAGTCACAAAACACTGGGCAGGGTACCAGAGTTGGGCGAATGCATGGTATGTTCCTAGAATAAGAATTGCTTGTAGTTATCAAAGGTGAATAGGGTCTTGAAAACATTTGTTTGTGTGTACAGATGTGTTGGAAGAGGATGAGGAGGATTCAGAGAGTGAGCCAGAGGGACAGGACATTGATGAGCTCTACCACTTTGTGAAGCGAACACATCAGCAAGAAACACGGTCCATCCATGTGGATGTCCAGCATCCTGCACTAATCCCTGTGTTGAGACCCTACCAGAGAGAGGCTGTCAATTGGATGCTACAACAAGAGCATTTCAGAAGCACTCCTGCTGGTGGCAAGTATAATATGCTTAAATAAAGGCAAATTGATTGGAGAGATAAGAAAGATAATTAGGGTGTGAGTGAAATCGATCATTAAACAAAGTATATTGAAAAGATAAGATAAAATGAGTGTTACCATGAATACAATTATTTTCTAAGAATTCCTCAAAATTGAAATCTAGAATTCATTTTTGAATTTCCTCATTCATAGAACTTGAACTGTTTCTTTTTCCAGCAAAAACAAAGACTGCCTTGATTAGAATTTTTAAAAACCAAGGAATTTGTTTACATGCCTTTCCAACTAAGAATTGCTTTTAGAACCTGATCAGATGGAAATCTTGCTAATCATCTGCAAGAATCTTTTCACAATTTGATGATAAATGTTAGTAAAAGAAAGCAAATTTAGAAAAGTAGGAGACTTATTTAATTTTACTAGATTCACATTTTTTCTTTACCCCACAGAATAAGTAATAAAACAAAACAGCATGTTCAGTGTTTTTATGAAAGTAGTAGATTTATGGAAGGCATTTATGCTACTTTTTATTACTTTATGTCTTTAAAGAGATAGGCACAAGATGAAATTTTTACATGATTTTAGGAAATAAGGTGTTGACTATTTCTCATTCCTCCTATGTAGATTTATTTTAGTTAGTGAAGAATATCTCTTACGTATTTCTCCCATGCGTTCCAGTTTATACTTTCTTATTCAACAAACTCTTTTTTTTTTTTTAACTTTTCATTTTGGACAATCAGTATCAATTGATAGCCAATATTATTTCTTCCTACCCCTCATGAACCCATTGGCTAACTTACTTTGAAGTAAATACCGTATATCTTATCATCATTTTATATATTAGTATTTCAATTTGTTTCATTGAAAGATAAGGGTTCTCTTAAATAAGTACAAAAATATATAATGACTTTTAAAACCCAGTAAGTCCTTTTAATATAACCAATCTCTTTTCCTCCTTCCCTCCCTCCCCTCTTTCCTCTATTTCTCTCTCCCCCCTTTCTGTCTCCCCTCTCACGCCCCAGTCTTTCTCTCTCTCTCTCTCTCGCTCTCGCTCTCGTATAAACACACACTTCAAATCTGAAATCAAATGACATCCTTACATTAGAATTGGTTGCTATCGCTTAAGTTTCTTTCAGTCCATAGTTTTTATCTCCTATCTCTTACTCTCTTTTTTCTTTATAATTATTTGTTGAAGAAATTGTTAGTTCTGTAGAGTTTCCCACAGACTGGTTATTTTTTCTCCAAAATGAAATATTTTTTCTTTGGCTAGATAATTTTATTAAGGTATAACTTACTTACAGTAAAATGTACCAATCTTAAGGGCAGTTTGATGAATTTTGACAAAATCTGTGCATCTGTGTAACCAGCAACCCAGTTAAGACATAGAACTAGACTATCCCCAAAGTAGCCACTAGTCACATATGGTTCTTGAGAGTTGAAATATGGCTGTCCAAATTGAGATGTGCTGTTAGTTTAAAAATATACATTGGATTTTAAATAGTATACCCCTGCAAAAGGAAACAATCTAAAATATCTAATTAATAATTTTTATATTGATTACATGTTGAAATGACAATATTTTGGTTATATTGGGATAAATAAAATACACTGTTAAAATTAATTTCACCTTTTTTTAAATATAACTACTACGAGTGTAAAATTACACATATGGTTTATGTTATATTTCTATCAGACAGGGCTGTTGTAAAATATTTCCATCATCTCAGAAAGTTCCTTTATGGCCTAGTCATTCTATCTGTTTATCTGTATTCCTACTAAATCTATTAATCTCTTAAAAAGGCAACAAAAAATTCCTTGCTGTTTCATGGTGGGTAGAGACATGTTTCCTATTTGGCAGTTGATTTAACTAAGTTAAAATATGAAGGGGAAGGATATTGGAAGATTCTTGTCGAAACAAACTCAGTACTTCAGTGTTATAGCTTTAAATATTTTTTCCTCAGTTAAGTATAAGCCTTTCCTCCTACTCTTAGACCTATAGAAGAAGTCACGTCTGATTTAGGTAAATGTATTAGACTAATAGCATATGTCTATTGAGTTATTTAAAGACTTCATCCAACTTCTTGAAGAATTTGTAAAAGATAAGCTACTTTCCTTTATCAGGTAGGAGTTGGCTGTATGTGTTAGTTTTCTTTTCTTGCTAATCCTCTATAATTTGCTGCACTTTGCTTTTCTGTCTTATAACTTGTTTATGTGGATTTGTGCCCAAAGCGAGGGAAGCTAAAGAATTATGTAAGAAAAGAATTAGAAGGATCCTTAGACTTTTACCCATATGTTAAATATGTGGCTTTTCCTGCATGAGACTTCTCAAGAATATGGGTCTTTTGAATCAGTGTCTCAGGGAATCCTGACAGTTAATTTATTTTTATTTTAATGTGATTATCTGACAGAAAGGAAAACAAACAAAAACTTATTCTTATGGTAATATTTTTCTTTAGAAAGTGCGCTGCACATCTTATGGCGAGAGATTGTTACATCTGAGGGTTTGAAACTCTACTATAATCCATACACAGGCTGGTAAGGCAAAATTTTATTTATATGGTTGATGTGAAAATTAAATATAATGAAAAACTGTATGTGATTAGTAGCCTGTCTTTAGCCTTGGCAGTACCTCAAGAGGGAATTCTAAGTTAAAGTCTTGCTCAACATTTTTATAAATAGGATAAACTTAGAATTAATAGCACTAGTCATTTTTCAGTAAGTGGATACAGAATAATAAACATAAGATACTTAGTTACCGAGATTTTATTAAAAAGAGATTACTATTATTATAAGTAAAAATGTTATCTTGTTTTTTATGGGCCAGTTTTTTAGGAATCAGTAATTATTGCCTTTCATATTTTTTTAATTTACAGATTCATAAAGGTCACAGAAAGGAGGGAGACTTGTTTCCTTTAAATTATAGAAGAGAAAAAATGATGGGTATTTACCAATACAACTCTTATTTCTGCAGACTTAGTTGTCTGCTTAGGCAGTTTTTTGATTATCATGGTTCTTATATTCATAATCTAGGGATTTGAAGTTTTTTTACCCTAAAATATAGTTTCAATAAACTTATACTTTCATGCATTTCTTCCAGTTCTATTTAGGAAAAGTGATTAGGAACAGTATAATTTTTATCTACATTTTTATGATGTGTTTTTGTTTTTGTTTTTGTTTTTTTTACCTTTAGCATCATCCGTGAGTACCCAAATTCTGGGCCACAGTTGCTTGGTGGAATCTTAGCAGATGAGATGGGTCTTGGAAAGACAGTGGAGGTTTTGGCTCTGATTCTAACACATACTCGACAAGATGTCAAACAAGATGCTCTGACTCTTCCTGAGGTAGGAGGAGTACTGTAGGGCTTGGGGAAGCAGGGGACATATGTTCTCAAAAAGTATCATATGTTGAACATTTGCTTGGCACTTACGTCAACACTTTCTGTTCACTCTGTAGCTAAAGATTTATATTAGTGATTGGTTAACTCCAAATGGACACAGAGAAGGTGATGTTTGTGACCCAGCAGGGTTTCTTTTTTTTTTTTGGCCAACTAGGAAGGGGATATGTAGTCACTTACGAAGCTTTCTTCTAGTTGGCAGAGAAACTGCATTATGAAAGTGCTATTGACTCCTCAAATGTTTTGTCAGTACTACAAGCCTTCATATTACCACTAAATAATTTTTTTTTTCCTTTTTGTCTTTTTTTCGTGTCCGGCAACGGATCGCAACCCTCAGTGTCGCGCCCGTACTGGACCGGGACCAGCAACGGGATCGCAACCCTCGGTGCTGCGCCCACACCTCACTCAGCCAGTGAGTGGGAACCGGTCTGTATGTGGGATCCGAACCCTCATCGGGAGCGCCACCGCGCTCCCAAGTGGCGCACTGTAGCAGTGCGCCACCGGGCCAGCCCTACCACTAAATAAGTTAAAGAGCTATTTTTAAAAATCGTACAAGTTTCAGATGTGTAAATCTTAGAATATAATAATGAGGACTTTGATAAAGGATAGGTATGTTAATAAATAGATTGCTATATGAAACAAACTCTTAAGTCCTTGTCCCAAAGTATATAGTTGTGTTTAAAAATATGAATTTTATTCCCAACACAAAGAGGTGACAAATGTTTGAAGTAGTGGATATTAATTACTCTGATATGATCATTGCACACTGAATAAATGTACTCAAATAGCTCATTTGTATTACTCCATAAATATATGCAGTTTTCATGGGTCAATTAAGAAAAAAGAAAAAGAAAAAATAATGGAAGACAGAAGTAGATTAAAGGTTAACAGAAACCAGGGAGAAGGAATAATGTGAAGTTATTGCTTAATGGGTCCAGAGTTTATGTTTAGGATGACAAAAAAGTTTTGGTAATTGATAGAAGTGATCGTCACACAGCATAGGGAATGTAATTAATGTTTAAAAATTATTAAATTGGCTAATCTTATGTTATATATACTTAACCACAATAAAAAAAAACCTAGCATAGAGCTTTGCACATAGTAGGCCTGCAATAAATGCCTTTTTCCTATTTTTATATATATTTATATAAATTTTAGAGTTTACCAACAAACAAACAAAAACCCATCACTGAGGCAAATATACTTTATACTGCATATTTTCCAGTGATGGACTCTGAAATCAGCACATTAAATCCTACTGAAATGAGGCCACTAGTTAAGGGTATAACTAATTAATTACCTCTAGGGCCCCCCAGGCTTTACAGCCTTAGTGATTATATGATTTTCAATAGGGTCAAGTTTGCAAAATTAGCCTTTCAGATTTGAGCAGTGAATAGGAAAAAAAAAAATCTTTTTTTTTTTTTGTAGAAAAATGACTTACATAACTTTAACTTTCAGTAACTTCTTTTTGGGATTTTCTATTCGTTGCCTATTTGAATTACAAGTTATTATTTTCAATATTATAAATTCAGTGGGTTAATTCTATATTTAAATATGCCTTAAAAAGTTAATTTCAGAAGTTCCACATTTAACATTTTGGTAATTTAAGATAATATACACAATTTTCAAAAGTGATGACTAGCTATAAGCTCGGAAATAAAAAATAAGGTATGTCTGTATCTATAGCGTATTTTGCCCTTTTTAAATATTTTTTTCACAACTGTTTTGCATTTTCTTAGTAGGAGGGTTAATTTTAAAAAGCAATTCAGAATACTGAAAGCAAAACACTATGTGACTACTGAATGTTGTTTATATAAGGGAAAAGTGGTGAATTATTTCATTCCATCGCATCGTTTTGGAGGAAAAGTAAAAGACATAGAAACCCAGAATATGGAATTTGAACCAAAAGAAAAAGTTCACTGCCCCCGTAAGTATGTCATCTGTTAAAAAAAATACCCTCTTATAAGTTATCTTTGTTATAGTTCTTGTAGTTCTTAGAGATTATCTTGTAATTGTTGCAAATGATTGTTTTTACAGTTGTTTATGCTTTGCATAAATAGATTCAATTACGAGTCATAATATCTTAACAAAAGAATCCAGGTGGTTCTTGCTCAGTCTGTTACATTTAAATTTCTTTAGCTTACAGTTTAAACCAGACTGTATTCATCCTCAAGTAGAACAACTTCAAATTATTTTAGCAAATGAGTGTTGCCCTTACTAATGATACCCTATATTTAGATAATTTTGAGAGCTTTCTTTTATAATTTGAAATGATTTTTTGTAAGATTAACAAATTAACATGAATAACTCTTCCTTAAATTATTTGTATTACAGTAATTTATTTCTTAATGTTTTGAGATACTTTGTTACATATTATTCAAGATGGCACAAGACTGCAATAAATCTTTCATGTATTTTTTTCTTAACTTGGTCCTCAATGCAGATTAAGATTAACTGAGTTTTACTTTCTTTTTATTTTAATTCTTTTGACTGAATTAGTATAATCCTTTTGCATTTAGCTACACGTGTGATGATCCTGACAGCTGTGAAAGAAATGAATGGAAAAAAAGGAGTTTCCATCCTTTCCATCTATAAGTATGTCAGTTCTATATATAGATATGATGTTCAACGGAACAGGAATCTTCTGAAACGGATGCTGAAATGTTTAATTTTCGAAGGTCTTGTGAAACGGATCAAAGGCCATGGTTTTTCTGGGACTTTTACATTGGGAAAGAATTACAAGGAAGAGGATATATGTGATAAAACAAAAAAACAGGTAACAGCTTAAGTTAAGTTCTATTAAGTACCTATATGTGATGCCTTACAAAATAAATTGATAAGATATAAAACAAACTAGTTAGGAAAAGCACTTTTAGCTATGACTTACGTTTTTTACTTTCTGAATATAAGCTCTAGGAGAATAGAAACTTTATTTTGGTTATCATTTAACGCAGAGAAGAGTGCTTCACACTTAACAGGTACTGAGTAAATATTTATCGAATGAATTATAAAATTAGTTGGTTAAGCATACTATAGAGTTTAAAACATCTCTTCTTATTGTGCTACTGTCAGCAGTTAAAAAGTTTGTTCCAGATTTGAAAAACATTATAAGACCTTAAATTTGCATAGTACTTTAAATGCATTTTGAATATTTTATATAAATTCTCATTTTCCCCATGTCATCATCTTATCAAATTTTTACATTTTGTTATAAAACTCTTGTTGGGCCAATAATTTCAAGTTGCTTTTAGTAAAATAATTGTAATATTTGCAAACATAAATCAAGAAAAGACTAGTGATAACAAGTCAAAATGTTGAGCTGTCAACTTGGCATCTGAAAGAAATAGCAGACATAAAAATTTATTTCCTGGAATGGGGAGTCTCCAATATAATGCGCAGGCAGCATACGAAAATCTCCAATTAATGCTATTGGTATTGGTTCTGTGCTAAGTGTTTTGATTCCTCTGTTCAGCCTCAGCTCTGACATCACTTGGAGAAAGCCATCCCTATCACCTGCCTCCCCGTCACACCCCACTATGTAATGGGGTTACTTCAAAATGTTCAGGGCAAAATTTGTATTATCTTTTAATTGTGTTTTTCCATCGACGTTTTGACATACTTTCACATATAGTGCTCTGAAGCATGCCTATAGCATCATTTTACCTATTACTGTTCTCACTTTTCCAGGGGCCAACTGCTGTGCATATTTCTATCCCTACCACTTAACAGCACTGGCACAGAATTGGCATTCAATAAATAATTGCAAAAGAGGACACAGGTAGAAAGGAGAAGGAAAGAAGGAATTTATTTGCTAATTGCAGTAACAAGTAACCTAACTTTTCCTTTCTTTGGGTGCTATATTTTAGTACTTGGTATTTTTTGCAATTGCTCTAGTTTGTATATTTATGTACTGTAAACTACTAGTTTTTTTATTTATTTAGGCACACTATAAATTATAACAGGTTAGTTCCAAAAAGACGGCAGCTTCCTTTGTCTTTCTAACCTTTATTCTTTCCAAATTTTATTGGTACAGTAGTAGAGCCTTCATTTTGGGGGGTCTGCAGACTACAGGGCAGATTGGAAGCCACTTATCAGGAGTAATTCTCAGGGAAAAAAGTAGCAAAGACTGGCCGCTGGATTTTTATGTAAAGCACACACATAGAGTCGGGAGTTTAATTTCAGAAATGTAACTATGTTGAAATACATTAATTAAGTATTTTTTCATAGGCAGTAGGGAGTCCAAGGAAATTTCAGAAAGAATCCAGAAAATCAGGGAACAAGGACACAGATTCTGAATACTTGCCATCAAACACCTCTGATGATGATGATGATCCTTACTGTTATTATTATAAGACCAGGAGAAATCGTAGTAAATTGAGGAAAAAGCCTATTCCATCTACAAAAAAAGGAAAGAGTCAGCCTAACAACAATTCTGATCCACAAGGTCACTGTCCAGCTACCAGTGACTCTGGAATTACTGATGTTACCATGTCTAAAAGTATATGTGTCTCTGAAGTCAAGCAAGAACATAAAGCAAAGGACTATGCTGAATTTCCAAACCCTGCTGATAGTGATGTGCCACATTCTAATATCATGAATCCCTATAATACCTCTGATTATCGCTTTGAGTGCATATGTGGTGAACTTGACCAGATAGACTGTAAGCCTCGCGTTCAGTGCCTGAAATGCAACTTGTGGCAGCATGCAAAATGTGTGAATTATGAAGAGAAGAATCTGAAGATTAAGCCTTTTTACTGCCCCCATTGCCTTGTTGCAATGGAGCCAGTATCAACAAGAGCAACTCTGATCATCTCTCCAAGTTCCATCTGTCATCAATGGGTGGATGAGATCAACAGGCATGTGAGGTCATCATCTCTTCGAGTCTTGGTAAGGCAGTTTTGGCTAAAGAGGGATAGAAGAATTTAAAGTTTTGCTTTTTCATGATAATTTTTATTGTATTTGTTGTTTTATTGTTTATACTAAAAATTAACGTAATGATAATAGTAATTTTAAATCAGAATATGAAGAGAAATTGGGAATAAGAAATAGAACACTGGAGTGTTTATTCTTTTCTGACATCAGAATTTCAGAAGTTAAAACACTTTGAGTATAAAGATACAAACGCTTTTTTAAAAAATTCTTGATTACATGAATGAAAAAGGCATGGTATAAGCATTTGCACTCTCAGAGACAAATGCAATCCAAAAGGCAGTGTTGTGTAATAGTAGCTACTTACCTGACCTGCCACGTCTTAGCTCCAGAATTGCCTCTGAAGCCTCAGTTACCTCATCTGTAATATAAAAATTTACTCATTCTGCAAATATTTATTGAGCATCTATTATGTGCCAGGAACTATGCTAAGTTCTGAAAATAGTATCCAGTCATAGACTTGTTGTGAAGATTAAATGATTTGATAAAGTGCTGGCACATAGTAAGTGCTTATTTAGTCCAGTTGTTTACTAATATTAGTACCCTTCCCTACTTTTGTTCTTCCTTCTTTCTACACAAATGTTACTAAGGGTTTTCCTGCAGTCAGATGTTCTACCCCTGAGCTATGGCCCCTACTGAGGGTTTTCTGTATTTCATCCATTCTCATGGGTATGGAGCTTTGTTCTGTGTGGGTAGGCAAACCTTGGTTTGATTCTTAGTTCTGTCAGTTTTGAGCATGTCACTTTATGTTTATGTGTGGGATAGGAATAAAAACAACTATTAACAGAATTGTTGAAGTTTGGCGATAATGCTTAGCACAGTGTCTGAAGCATAAAAGGCATTTCATAAATTATAGCTCCTACTGTTCTACTTTTTCATATCATTGTGCTTTTTGCAGATGCTGTTGATTCTATGTACCTCTAGTCTTTTTCCCCTTTTTCCATCTGTGAGAATTCCTAAGTGTTCTTTAAGATATACCTCAAATTTTAACTCCTCTGAATTCACCTTCTCAGCTATAGAATTGGTCTTTTTGCTGTGATGCTAGCACATTTATTTCTGTTACATTTCATGTCACATTACTTATGTTATAAATCTTCCACACTAAAATGTGTCTTTCTCCAGATAGATATGATATCTGTCTCATAGCATGTGTGGTCCTAAGCAAATAGAAAGGGCTTAGTAAGGGTATAAATGATGAATATTTCACTGGTCTTCGATGAGCCTTTCTGCAATAACTATGTCTGTGCTGATTATTTCCTAGGTATATCAAGGAGTGAAGAAAGATGGCTTTTTACAGCCTCATTTTTTGGCAGAGCAGGATATAGTTATCATTACCTACGATGTCCTTCGCTCAGAACTAAACTATGTTGATATCCCACATAGCAATAGTGAGGATGGGCGTCGCCTACGGAACCAGAAGCGCTATATGGCTATTCCCAGCCCCCTAGTAGCTGTGGAATGGTGGAGGATTTGCCTCGATGAAGCTCAGATGGTTGAATGTCCTGCAGTAAAAGTAAGAGTTTCTGCAAAATCTTTTGAGGGCTGGGTAGGAAAAAGGAGAGGGATTAGGGGAAATTGAATAGTTTAATAGTTTAAGCATAGTTAACCCATAGTATTGATATTGGTCAATAGTTTGCTGTTAAAAACTCTACATGTGATTTTCTCTTGTGCTGTGAACTACATAACCCTTTGGAATTATTTTGGTACTCTGTGAGTCAATGCTCATATATATTTGGATAAGATGTCAGTTTATGCATTATGCAGGTCAAAGTAAATTGTGCCTAGGGACTTTTATAAGTATTTCTTCTAACTGGAAGGCTTATCATGTAGGCTCTGATAGCTGTGAGCCAAAGTAGACTTTGGCAGTTTTTTTCATCAGAGACCAAATGGTAACAGAAAATGCTACTTTAGAAGATAGAATTTTGATTCAGCCTTTATTTGTTATATGTCTTTATTCTGTCATCTTCGGCCAGTCTGTAATCTGGACTGAATTTATGAATCATATCTATCAGCGCTGTAGTTTACATCTGGAGGATGGAGTGGTATGGGGAATGTATCAGTTATTCAGGGAGCTTTTTCTATGATGCTTGAACTACCCCTCCATTTCAAGGGGATATATGGCAGCCTTCTACTGATTAGAACCACTGTACTGAAAGATTGAATATGACATTCCACATTGAATGTGGTAACTATTAAATAAAAGCAGGTGTGTCTCATCTGAAGTGTAGCTTCTTGCAGGCCATTTTCATAAGTGTATGCCTGACTTCTGCATTATTCCTGTGTCTTTTTTTGTTTGTTTTTATTTCATATTTTTTTCTCATCAGGCTGCAGAAATGGCCCAGCGTTTGAGTGGGATTAATCGGTGGTGCATCAGTGGTACTCCAGTACAGAGAGGATTGGAGGGTAACGAATGATTTCCTCACATATTGCATGAATTTGAAAAGCTTAAATTTTTTGAAGAAAAAGTATTTTTATGATTAACCTTTGTTGAAATCCTTACTTAAGTGATTACACGTGTATTTATAGTTGACTCCAAATAGTTTCAAGCATTTATCTTTTTAAGTGGAACTTGGGTGATTTTTCTGTTTGTATACATGAGGACAAATATACAGTGAGTAATCCCGTTGTCTTAAGTTGAGCAATTACTGTGCTTACCTAAACAGTGTAGATACAGTTCTGAATTGAACTCAGAGTTCCAGAGTGGTAGGTAGAAAACAGAAAGAATCTGACCAAAGGAAAAGAGGGGAGGGAGGAAGGGAGAGAAAGAGAAAAAGAAATTTAATTTTAATTGGCTGTGTCTATAAAAATAGGGACCATAATTTTCATTGCCTGAATCCATAATAGTGAGACCATAATTTTACTAATTGTAAAAGTTTAAAATATTGATAGCTTTATAACATTATATCATATGTATATACCAGTATTCCTTCAACCATTCCCCTTCTTGGACATTTAGATTGTGTCTACTCTTCTCCCCTCACACACACATGATGCTGATGCTTCTACATTAATTCATTCATTATCCCTTACTTTTTCATACAACAGACACTGGGATTTTATTCAAGTTATGAATATTTAAAACTAAAAGTTTAAGTAAATCTTATTTTATATAATAAATTTCCTGAAAAGCTGGTATTAAAATGTAACTAAATTATAAAATTTAAATGTACTTGGAGTCCCAGCAGTAAATATTCATCTTCAAAACTTATCTTTTTGATAATCCAGAGTTTTCATATATTTTGTTTGTTTTCAGCAGGATGACTTATCATTCTGCTAAAACAGAAATATCAACATCCATTAGTATGATCTGCAAAACAGTATGTTTTTTGATGATTATTTTTAGGGGGAAATAGTTTCCTAAGAATATTGTAAGTATATATTTAAGTATTTACATAATTTTGTTATGTTAAGATACATATTTATAGAATATTAGGCTAATTAAGAGACCAAATTTAGTGGTCTGTTTTCACATTTTGAAAGTGCCAAAATTATAGATATTTCGGTGTTAACATGATCTCACTCAGCTCAAAAGTTAGCTGAAAGGGTACAGAAGAAAGTAAATGACTATCAGAATTACGTTTTCTAATTTTAATGTTGAAAGATATGAGCAGTAAGTCCTCAGTTTCCTGGGTAGGTTTTTGTAGAGATGTAAGATGTTGGCAGATGTTTTGAGCACTTGTCACCATTCAACAAATTCTTGAGTAATGTTTTTAAAAACAGCTTTATTGAGCTGTTTGAGCTTTATTGAGGTATAAATGACATAACAATAAAACTAGTTGTTTCTGGCTGTTACAGTGGGATTGTTAGCCTGCTTATGACTTACTGTATTGTATTTGGCAGTAGAAGTCTCATTTGTTTTCTTTGTATTATGTAAAACGGGGTTTCTTAGCCTTGGCCCTATTGACATTTTGGCCTGGATAATTCTTTTTTGTTGGGGGCTGTTCTGTGTGTTTCAGAATGCTTAGCTTCTACTCACTAGATGCTGGTAGCACTTCTGCAGTTCTCACATCCACAAATGTCTCCAGACACTGCCAAGTGTCCCCTGGGGAGCAAAATTGCACCCCTCCACCTCCACCTCAGTTGAGAACCATTGTGCTAGACTGATAGAGATAAATCAAATTTGATGATTTATTAATTAGCAGCAACCCAGAGATCTTGTTAATCCCAAATTGGCCACATATTGAGCAAGGAAATGAGGATAGGATATTTTCATTTTCTAATTTGCCAGGCCTTTAGTTTGTTTCTGCAGGTGGGCTGAAATAATGTCACCTACTTGGAAAGTCAAATAGGCAAGAATGGAGTCCATTCCTTTAAACCCCCACACACCCTATGTCTATGTAATAATAATATCTTTTGTACAATACTAGTCTAAAAAGCATTGGATTTGGGGATATATAAACCTGGGTTCACATCCTGACTTATTAGTTGTATGTTTATAAACAAATTACTTAAATATTCAAATTCTTATTTTCCTTATTTCTAAAATAAGGTGTTTTAAAGATTAATGATAATAAAGTATACAAAGCATTTAGCACAGTACCTGACAGATATTAAATATTCAATAAATGATAGCTGCTTCACTTCTGCTTTTTTGTTTTATTTTCTATTTATGTGATCATTCATTTACCTTGTTTCTTTGAAAATGTTGATTTTAAATAACTTAAGTACTTTGTGGTACATTTATTATTTTATTTATTCTTTGCAATATATGAGAGTGAGCAAAAATAGACCAGGTCCCTGACCTTATTGAGCTTACAGCTTAGAGGGGAAGATATATTTATTAATACTTAGACAAATTTTAAATTGAAATTAAGATAACTTTCACAAATGTGAAAAATATAAAATTCTGACTCTGTCAGGTTTCATCAAAAAGATATATGGTTCTATGACATCACATAATAGAGACCCAGAAGGAAGTTATAGCTGAACTGAGAAAAGAAATATTAACATGAGCTTGTTAAAGAGGAGAAGGAAGAATTTTTCATTGCAGAGGAAACAAAATATAAAAATCAAAGGCAGAAGGAAAACTGAAAGAGTGTCAGTGTTGCTAGAGTACAAAGAGGTAGGGATAATATGGTGCACTGAGAGACTGAATAGGTGGATATAAATGGGACCAGGGAGGACATTGTAGGCCATGATAAAGAATTTTATTTGTTTTCTTAAGAACAGTAAGAGCTGTTGAAAGTAATTTAAACACAGTGGTTGGGGATCATCTTGTGGTTAGATTTGTATTTCAAAAAATCACTTAAGTTGCAATGTGAAGAATGGTTTAGAAGTAGGAAAAGTGGATATTAGCATATCAATTGATTGGCTACAATAAATTAGTCAAGTGATGCTGGCACTTTGGATTTGGACTAGAGTAATCCTGAAGAAATAGAAAAAAGTAGATATGGAAAAGTTAACAAAGCTTGGTGATAGATCAGAAGATGCCAAGATTTCTGACTCACATAAATCCATGGATGGTAATAATATTCACCAGTGAATAATAGTAGAAGAGAATTGTATTTGGGCAAAAGCATTATCCATTTGATTATGGCAGGTTGAGTATGAGGTGCCTTTGGGACCTCAAAGAAGAGGTAGCACATAGGCAATTGGATTGATTTGAGCTAAAAAAAAAAAAAAAAATCTGTTGATCTCTGCATATAGGCAGTGATGCATTGGTTCTTTCACATGTTACTTATTCCTAGGAACCATCAAAGTAACTTTGTTCAACCTTAATATTTGTTTGTCATCTTCAGAATACAAGCGTGCTTCAAAAAGTTCGTGAAAAATAGAAAAGTTAATGGGAATCTTTCCCAAACTTTTGAAGTACTCTTGTAGATGTTACCATTAGGATCATGGTATTTTTTAGAATATTTTTATGGCTTTGAAGAGAATAAATGTTCATTGTGAAAATTTTTAACAATATGGAAAAGTGTAAAGAAAATTACACTTACTCAATCTTTATTTGAAGACAAAACCACAGCCAATTTTTTCTATATGAATATTTATATATTTGAGCTCCTACTGGATCAATAATTATATATATGTATGTTTTACTTAACATTGTATCCTAAGTAGTTTTCCATATGTTAAAAAATTTGTCACAACTAAATATATGGAAAACTGCTTAGGATATGTGTTAAGTGGAGGAAAAATGGAATGTAAAATTGAGTGTGCCCAATCAAAAGATGTATAGAAGAACCATGCTTTAAAGCTAACAGGTGCAAGGCTTGCTGGATCGGAAAAGAAAAATAATTCTATTTTATGGGGTATCATAATTTATTTACTTCTTTATTTTAATCATTTTTATTCTGTGTATTGTTGCTATGAATATCACTATAGGTAAATCTTGTCTATATTTTTTAACATTGTCTTAGGCTTGTTTGCCAGAAGTGGAATCATTAGATCGAAGGGTATGAGGATTATTGGATCAGATAATATTCTCAGTATCATGTGAATTAGAATTTTGCTTTTCCTGATCCAGCAAGTCTTGCGTGTATTAGTTTCTGTGCATGCTATTTCTTTTCTTTTTTTTTTTTTTTGTCTTTTGTCTTTTGTCTTTTTCCGTGTCCGGCAACGGATCACAACCCTCAGTGTTGCCGGACCGGGGACCGGCAATGGGATTGCAACCCTCAGTGTTGCTCCCGTGCCTCGCTCAGCCAGTGAGCGGGAACCGGTCTGTATGTGGGATCCGAACCCTCGGGCGGGAGCGCCACTGCGCTCCCAAGCGGCGCACTGTAGCAGTGCGCCACCGGGCCGGCCCTGCATGCTATTTCTTATATATCTCTTGTCAAACACACTCAATTGAATAGTTAACTGGTTTTACCTATGATGGTAATTTTAGACTTTTGAATCAAGTCCATGCTTTGTGTAATGGTTACATAAACTTTATAACATTTTAGCACCTTGCACAAAACCTAGAGCAAAATAGATGCTCAATGAATGTAAATTGAATTGGAATTGAATTTCAGACTCTAGTGCCTGTGCAATCTGCATTTTAATTCATGGAAAGTACTGTGCACTGTGTAATGTCTGTGAAAGTGCTTATTTAAAATAGTAATGAAGAAATATAGAAACAGTTATTCTCAGTGTGCTTTTTTCTTTTTTCTTTGCAGATCTCTTTGGGTTAGTGGTCTTTCTTGGTATCGAACCTTACTGTGTCAGACACTGGTGGGTTCGACTTCTCTATCGCCCTTACTGCAAGAAGAGTCCTCAGCTCCTCTATAGTTTTATTGCCAGGATATTGTGGAGGTCTGCAAAGAAAGATGTGATTGACCAAGTCAGTACAATAAGTTTTTATTGATTAAGAGTATATAAGTAAAAAGAAATAGTTGGGATGGAAAGTTAAATTTTCCAGTGAAAACTTACTTTTTTCCCTACCTCTTTGCAGATCCAGATACCACCACAGACTGAAGAAATGCACTGGCTCCACTTTTCTCCAGTGGAAAGGCATTTCTATCACCGTCAGCATGAGGTGTGCTGCCAGGATGCGGTGGTAAAACTCAGGAAGATTTCTGACTGGGCTCTGAAGCTCAGCAGCCTGGACAGAAGGACTGTCACCTCCATCTTGTATCCACTGCTGAGGCTCAGGCAGGCCTGCTGCCACCCTCAGGCTGTTCGTGGGGAGTTCTTACCACTCCAAAAAAGGTTTTATTATCCATTTCCTCATACTGCAATTGGTAATATTGTGATAACAGGCAACATTTAAGCAATTAGCCTCTTTGCCCACGATTTCATTCATGGACTTGTAACTGAGTTGTCAGTATTTTTAATGATGTGGTGGTTTTTCTTTGGTATAAACTTCATTTGTGAAAGAAAATCACATCATCCAAATTATCTTCATGGTTTCAAACATTTCTTTTAAAATTTGGGTCATTGTTGGGGTTTTTGTTTTTTGGTTTTTGGTTTGTTTTTGGCTATACTCCAGATTTGAAAGCTTTTGCTCTTATTATATTTCTTGATTCCCCACATCAGGGAATTGGATTAACATTAATTATTTTCTTTATAACTGTGCTTTGTCTGTTTGATTATTCTTCCAAAAACATTAAGGAATATGTGTCCATAATACTCTATTGTCCCAGAGATGTTTTTGTGAATCAGACTACAGCTTAGGAACTGGCCATTTTTGGAAGCACCTGGTATTAGAAAGAAACCCCTTCAGGTGCTATAAGAGATAGAAAGAGGATTGGATGTTGTCCTTTCCTTTGGAAATTATAGACAAATAAGGGAGATGACAAAATTATAGATTTCTAAAATATGAACAAACATGATAAATTTCACGAGAGGTACACACAAATTGCCATGGACAATTAGAGCATGGAAACAATATCTATGTGAATGGTTAAGGTTAGACCAAGGTCTGGGATTCGATCCTGTACTGGCCAACTGCTAAAAAAAGAAAATTCAGGCTGGGAGAGGTTAATTAATTAAATTGCAGTGCTGGGATTCAGATCCAGCCTTACATTTTAACACCCATAGTGTTTCAACTATATGATATTGTACTTTGTGCTTGAAGAAGATTTTTCTACTTTTATTCTCCCTTGACTGAAATGGGAAAAACTTAAAGAATGATGGGGTCAGATGGAAGAATGCTCACTGGAATAGTAAGAGGTGATTAAGTTGAGAGCAATATTAGTAAAATGGACCTGAAGAGAAAAATGCTGAAGATACCACAGAGACTCTGTAAGAGCCTCACACTCTTGATCTTGTATGATATAACACTCCCACTGAAATAACACTTGGGATTTTCTTTGTAGTTTTGAACAATCTGCTTTTTCTTTTAGCACCATGACAATGGAAGAGTTGCTGACATCTTTGCAGAAGAAATGTGGGACTGAATGTGAAGAAGCACATCGGCAGCTAGTTTGTGCCCTCAATGGCCTAGCAGGCATCCATATCATTAAAGGTAGAAGGTGATTGCTTTGTTATCTCTGAGCCTTCCATATACTTTCTGGGGAAGGTTAATTACAGTAGAAATCAACCCCCTGCTCCCCAAAAGACAGTCTCACACACTACTAATTGTAATTTAAATCGGTTCAACTTAATAGAGAGCTGTTGTGCAGAATATGTCAAAAACCTTCAAAGTTTACATATGCTTTGACTAAACTGTTTCATTTTTAAAAGTTCTTTTTGAGGAAATGAGGATGGGAACCAAGATTTGGCTATAAGTTATTAATTTTGGTCTTTAATAGTGAACAACTGCAAACAACCAAAATACCTAGAAACAGAAGAGTGGTTAAATTTTGAGATATACAAGGGAGGCGTATTCATTGATTTAAAAATTACATTGTTTGTAAATTTATTTTTTCAACAAATATTTGTGTGCGAGATATGATCTGTGTACTAAAGATGATAAAGTAAACAAAGTAAACTCTTTGATCTTATGGGCCTTAAATTCTTACAGAGCATGGCAAATATACACATACACAATGTGTATGTGTAAAATTACAGTGTTGTATGTTTACTTTGTTGTTTCCTGTCTGTCAGGGATCACTATTTTTTGTTGTCTGATGTCCAGTATCTTACAAACTGTCCTTTTTTGTATTTGTCTGTTATTTTAGTTGTTACAGAAAGTGTAAATCTATCCTCTGTTACTGTATCTTGGCTGGAAGCAGAAGTTATATAACTGGCACTTTTAATAAGCACCATTTAGTAAACACCTTCCATATAAATAGGATCATTAGAACTGTATTCTATAGGTTTAAGAGTAAAGATTAAACATATTAAGTAGAGACATTGAAAACATAAAATCAGACTTGGAGAGATGAAAATTTCAGTGTCTGATATAGAAATTACACTTGATAAATAGAAGATTAAACACTACAGAAGAAAAGATCAGTAGAGCTGAAGTATAGAATAGCAATAGAAACTCTCCAACATGAAAAACAAAGAGAATAAAAACTTAAAAATTTGAAAAGAGCATTTATGAGATTGTGGACAACTTCAGGTGGCCTAATACAAATGTGTTGGAGTCCCCGAAGAAGAAAAAAATATATGAAGTAATGTATTGTGGGTTTTATAACATATAAATGTGAAATGTGCAATAACGATAGTGCAAAGTCGGTGAGGGAAGAAATGAATGTATGATGGTGTAAGGTTTTTATACTGTAGATGACGTGGTATATGACGTGAAAGTGGACTGTGACAAGTCAAGGATATGTTCTATACACCCTACAACAACCACTAAAATGTATAACACAGAATTAGAGGTAATGATCTAAAAGAGGAGATAAAAGAGAGCAATAAACAATCTTTAACCTGAAAAAAAGGCAGCAGAAAAGAAAAAGGGGAACAGAGAACAGATGAAACAATTAGAAAGTAAATAAGATGGCACATTTAAATCCAAGCATATCAGTGATCACATTAAATGCAGTTGTCTAAATACCCCTGATTAGAAGGTAGCAATTGTCAGACTGGTCAAAAAAAGCAATACCACAATATCCTATTCGTAAGAAACTCACTTTATTTTTAAATATTCAAATGTAAAAAGATGAAAAAAGATAACCCATGTTAACACTAATCAGAAGAAAGCTGTAGTGATTGTATCATCAGGCAAAGTAGATTTCAGAGCAAGAATATTACAAGGATAAAGGGTGTTATTTATCACTGGGGGAAAAAAAAATCCTAAATGTTTATGGACCTAAAACTAGAATTTCAAGGTAAATTACGAAGACCGATAGAACTGTAATGAGAAGTAGACAAATTCATAATTATAGTCAGATTTCAACATTTCTCTCTCAATTATTTATAGAACAAGTAGACAGAAAACAAATAAGGACATAGACAGAAAACAAGTAAGGACATACACAGTTCAAACAACACTATCAACCAATTGACGTTTTCAACATTTATTAAACACTTTACCTATCCAAAGAGGAATACACATTATTTTCAAGTCTACATGGTTTGTTTACCAAGGTAGGTCAAATATATTTGAGCTATAAAACAAGTCAATAAATTTAAAAGGGTTCAAGTCTTACAAAGTATGTTCTATGACCGTGGTAGAATTAAATTAGATATCAATAACAGAAAAGTAACTGGAAAGTCCCCAAATATTTGGAAACTAAACAACACACTTCTAAATAATTCTTGGGTTAAAGAATACATCAAAAGGGAAACTAGGAAGTGTTTTGAAATGAATGAAAAAAATATCAGAATGTATGGATGTAACAAATCAGTAATCAAAGGGAAATTTATACCACTAAACACATACTAGGAAAGAAAAAGTGTTTCAAATCAGAGATGTCATCTGATACTTTAAGAAACTGAAAAAGGAAGATTAAATGAAGTACAAAATAAGCAAAGGACAGAAATAATGAAGATCAGTGCAGGAATGAATTAAAAGGAAAACAGAAAACCAGTAGAGAAAAGCAATCAACTTAAAATCTGGTTCTTTGAGAAGATCAATAAAAATTGATAAACCTCGAGTTAGACTATTGAAGAAAAAAACAGAGGAGACATGCATTACCTTTATCCAGGTTGAGAGAGGTGGCATCATTAAAGATTCTACAGATATTTCAGAATGTCATAAAAGAATATTATGAACAACTTCATGCCAAAAATTTGGCAATTTAGATGAAATGGGCAAATGATATGAAAGACACAAATTAACCAAACTCACTCAGGAAGACAAACTACCAAAGCTGATTCAAGAAGGAATATATGAGAGGACTTCCAAAAAGTTCATGGAAAAATGGAATTAAATGATAAAAATAAAAAATATAAAATTTATTTCTCAACATAAGCTCCATCAAGTTAAAGATACTTTTGTAAGCAGTGATACCAGCCATTTAGTCCATCCCTAAAGAACTGAGGGTCCTAGGAATTTAATCAGTCAGTGCAGTCTTTTTTGACATAATTAACTGAAGAAAAATGGGAATCCTTTAAAGATTTGTTAAGATTAGAAAACAAAAAGAAGACAGAAGGAGCCAAATCCTTCCCTAAGGTGGATGCGTAGTGATATCCCACCAAAACTCGCAAGATTGCCCTTGTTTGATGAGAGGCATAAGTAGAAACGTGGTGGAAAAGAACTATTTGGTGAAGCTTTCCTGGGTGTTTTTCTGCTAATGCTTTAGGTAACTTTCTCAAAACACTCTTGTAATAAGCAGATATTGTTCTTTGGTCCTCTAGAAAGTCAACAAGCAAAATGCCTTGAGCATCCCCCAAAACTGTTACCATGACCTTTGCTCTTGACAAGTCTACTTTTGCTTTGATTGTGCTTTGTCTTCAGGATCGTACTGGTAAAGCCATGTTTCATTTCCTGTTATAATTCTTCAAAGAAATGCTTCAGGATCTTGATCCCATTTGTTTAAAATTTCCATTGGAAGCTCTGCTTTTGTCTGCAGCTGATCTGGGCACAACAGTTTTGGCACCCATCAAGTGGAAAGTTTGCTGAACTTTAATTAATTTTTTAGTCAGAATTGTGTACGTTGTGGCCGGCCTGGTGGCGCACTGGAGAGTGTGCCACTTGCCGCGCTCCCGCCGAGGGTTCGGATCCCATGTGGAGACCGGTTCCCGCTCACTGGCTGAGCGTGGTGCGGACGCAACACCGAGGGTTGTGATCCCGTTGCCGGTCCCTGGTACGGACGCGACACCGAGGCTTGCAATCCTGTTACCGGTCAGTAAAAAAGACCGAAAAAAAAAAAAAAAAAAGAATTGTGTATGTTGAACCAATTGAGATGTCTATGGTGTTGGCTATTATTTTTGCTGTTAATCATCAGTTCTCTTCAGTTAGGGCGTGGACACGATTAATTTTTTCCTCACAGATTGATATGGATGGTCTGCTACTGCAGGCTTCACCTTCAACATCATCTCCTCCCTTCTTAAAATGAGCTGTCTGTTGTCTGTTTGTAAACTGCTGATTTCTTTGAGGCATTGTCCCCATAAACTTTTCATAAGCATCAATGATTTCACCTTTCTTTCACACGAGCTTCATCATAAATTTGATACTTGTTCTTGCCTCAGTTTTAGCAGAATTTATGTTGCTCTGGTAGGGGCTTTTTTCAAATTGATGTCTTATCTTTCTTAGTGCTTCAAACTAGATCCTGTGCAGACATGATATAACAAGTTAATACTAGTTTATATTGTTGGAAAAAAATTTTGAATCCACGTATAGTTTTTTCATAATATGCATTTTCCATGAACTCTCTGAAGATCCATTGTATAACCTGCATATTCCTGTATCTATTCAATAAATTAATTTTGTAGGTAAAAAATTTCCACAAAGAAAATTCTAGGCACAGATGACTATTGGTGAATTCTATCAAACATTTAAAGAAGAAATAATATCAAATCTGTATACATTCTTAGAGAAAATTGAAGAGGAGGGAATACTTCCTAACTTATTTTATGGGGCAATATCCTGGTTCCAAAACCAAAGACAAAAAAGCATAACTATAGATTAATATCACTCACGAAGACAGATGCAAAATTCTTTTAAAAAATTTTAGGAATGAATCCAACAATATATAAAAAAGATAATATATTATGACCAAATGGAGTTTATCCCAAGGATGTAAGATTGGTTTAATATTTGAAAATTAACTAATATAATTCACCATTTAACAAACTAAAAAAGAAAAACCATATGATCATATAAATAGATGTAGGAAAAGTATTTGACAAAATTCAACATCCATTTGTGATTAAAAAAAAAAAACCTCTCAGCAATCTAGGTATCACAGGGAACTTTTTCAGCTTGATAAAAAGGATCTATGAAAAACCTAGTTAATGTCATACTTAATGGTTGAAAACTGAATGCTTTCCCTCTAAGATCATGAAGAAGTCAATGATGTCCCCTCTTCTCACTTCTATTAACATTGTACCTGAGTTTCTCTCCAGTGCAGTAAGACAAGAAAAAGAAATAAAAATTATCAGATTGAATAGGAAAAAATAAGACTGCCTTTATTCACTGCACCATGATTGTCTGTGTAGGAAAACTACTAGAACTAAGAAGTGAATTTGTATTACAGAGTAAATATACAAAAATCAATTTTATTTCTTTATGTTAGGAATGAACAATTAGAAATTATAACAACATACTACTAACAGTAGTATCAAAAAATACTGGGTTGGCCAGTTAGCTCAATTGGTTAGAGCATGGTGTTATAATACCACAGTGAAGGGTTCAGATCCCCATACCAGCCAGCCGCCAAAAAACAAAACAAAAAAGTTAATACGAATATTTTCCTTGAACTTTTTGAAGACCTCTCGTATAGCAGGTTGAAATTCACAAAAATTTCTAAAATGGAGTAATACGATAGTATAGTATATACTAATATGTAGATTGTCACAATAATGAAAATGTAAGCTTTCTCATCTTGATTTTAAAATTGCATTCCTCCTTTTATTCTGTGTTGTAATGATTCGGAAGCTTAGACCGTGAATGAGTTTGCTGCCTTGGCTTTTTTCTTGTCTCTTTTTAAATTCATTATTGCCTTTCCCTGTTGTGAAGTTAAGCATGATATAGGCGTTGGGAAGAAAAGTTCCTCATCTGATCATTTCTAAACACTGTTGCACTCTAGTAGGGTCAGTATATAGTTGACTGCTATGTGGCAAAATACCACACTGTTGCATAACAGAAACTACATCACTGCTCTTTTCTGATGGTTTCCACTGCATTCCCACTGTAGTTCCTTGTCTTTCTATGAAGGGAATTACAGCAAACGATTGCTGATTATTAAGAGAAATCTCTACTAGAAAGTTCGTTAGTAGAGGATATGTCCATTCTGAATTTTGTTGTAAGTATAAACTTAATTGTAATGGATTTGCTGCTTTTAGTTTTAATTGCTTAACTTCATAGTGGTATGTTAAACAATATCTATTTTTTAAAGTAACATTACATGTTTAATTTATATAATTTAGATTCTTCCAATGTAGAGATCAGATAGTAAAGATCTGACTTTTAAAATAAATTTAAACTTAATTTCAAACTCTAGAAAGATTTGCTTGTATTATATGCGAATGTTTATTTATGATATAATGTGTGTATTCTGAGGTCCTCATTGCTTGGTATTAAAACATGGTATTATTCCAATTTTGAAAAATGTGTTTTCTAAAGTTATTTTTGGGAGAAATTAGCAATATCAAATCCAGTACAATTTGTTTACTTGGAAATGTTAGTGCCATCAAGTGGCTAAGAATGGATATTTCCAAATTTGACTTAAACTTTTATAACTTACTGAATATGCATATTTTTGTGTCTTCATTAGAAAGCATGTCTTTTTTTAGTAAACATTAAAAAACAGATATTCTAGTAAACAGTTCAAATACAGCTGCTTATATTAGTCTAGTTACTATACCTTTTTTAAAAGGTATGGTAATTATGAAGGGAAAAATCTTTAAATGAATTATTCCCTATAAATTATAGTATAAATACTAATAAGAATCCATATGTCTTTGAAAGGCTTTAATCAGGACTGTTAAAAACTAAAAAAAGAAAAATTTCTGTGTGAAGATAATTGATTATAATGCAGCTCTCTTATTGTGAATATAATCTTCTCCCTCATCAAAGTGAATAGAAATTGGCTGACTTTGAAGTACTATAAAATATGTGCTTTAGAAAGCCTTATATTAGGTAACTGATAGAACTAGATATGAAGCAGTGGTATAAAAGGAAGTGTTTTGAACAACAATGTGAATGTATGTAATGCCACTGAACTACACACTTAAAAATGGTTGAAATGGCAAATTTTGTGTTATGTATATTTTACCACAATTAATATGAACTTTAGAACCAACTGCAAAATTTACAGAGGTATATATATATATATAGAGAGAGAGAGAGAGAGAGAGAGAGAGACGGCTCATTATGACTATGAACAGTCCTAAATACATGATATTAATAAAACTAGATTGAAGTTTTTAAAAAAGCAAGTATATGTGATGATCAGACAAAAACCTTTTTTTCCTCAGCAAACAGAAACTGGAACATATTAAAACCTTTGTGTGTGTGTGTGTGTGTGTGTGTGTGTATCACAATTTTGCCATGTTAGATTTTTATTTTAATTGTATTTATAATTTACCAGTTTTGAATGTTCCCCCAAGGAAAAATAAGGTAGATTCCATTATTCAGAATACTAAAAGCATTTCATCTTTCCATTCACTCTGGTATCATCAGACTTTTTCTTGTAAAGAACTAGATAGTAAATATTTTACATTTTGCGAGCCATAGGATCTCTGCACTACTACTCAACTACTGTTGTAGTGTAGAAGCAGCCAAGTCAGTACATAAACAAATGAGTATCACTGGGTTCTAATAAAACTTTATCCAACAATCCTGAAATTTAATTTTATTTAATTTTTATGTCTTGAAATATTATTCTTTTGAACTTTTTTCAACTGCTTAAAAATTTAAAAATCATTCTTAGCTTATGGGCCCCATGAAATGCAAAGGGTCAGATATGGCCAATGGGCTGTTGTTTGCCAACTTGTGCTTTAACTGATACTTTTATTTGAATGAGCTGCTAATTATGAAAAATAGAAAATAACATATATACATTTCAGACTATTTGTGTGACCGGGAATGAAAGAAAATCCCAAAGTTTTTGAAATATAGTTTTAAATTGCAAATTATTTTGCCTAATATCAAGAACAATAATAGCTACTGAGAAAAGTGTATTATTTTTCTGAGAATTATGTGTAGGTTGGTCATAGTGTCTTGAATATTTGTTTATAAATGCCTATAATTACCCCAATTTTTTAAAATTTCAAACATCGTGAATATTAATTGACACCCTTTAATTTCAGTAAGAGGAAAATTATTTGTCTACATTAAAAGTTAATCCAAAGTTTGTTTTTTACTTTAATTTTTAAATAACATTATAAATATATTTGATTGAAATATATTTCAGTATAATTTTAAAACATTGTAAATATAATATAAAAACATCATACTCTGGAATTAAAAAAAAGAACTGTAATCTTTTTTTTTTTTTTTCCCTTTTTGTCTTTTTTTGTGACCGGCAACGGATCGCAACCCTCAGTGTCACGCCTGTACCGGACCGGGACCGGCAACGGGATCGCAACCCTCGGTGTTGCTCCCGCACCTCGCTCAGCCAGTGAGCGACCAGTCTGTATGTGGGGTCCGAACCCTCGGCGGGAGCGCTGCCGCGCTTCCCAAGCGGCGCACTGTAGCAGTGCGCCACCGGGCCGGCATGTAATCATTTTTTTTAATGGGGCAATCATATTAATAATACCAAGTCAGATTTCTTTACTTAAAATAGTGGGTAAAAATAAATAAATAAATAAAAACAAAGTAGTGAGTTTTAATCATTAAGTTGTATTTTTACAGTAGATGTTTGTAGATAGTAGATAACTAGATGACATTGGGAACTAAATATGTGACTTTGTTATGCTTTAAATACATTTTAACTCTTTAGGAGAGTATGCCTCGGCAGCAGAATTGTACAGAGAAGTGTTGCGCTCATCTGAGGAACACAAAGGAAAACTCAAAACTGATTCACTTCAGGTAAGTAAAAACTAAACAATTTCAAGAATATATATATACATATATATATATATATATTTTTTTTTTTTTACAAAATAATTTTTCTGAATGTTTGAGAGGATAAAAGACAGTCATAATCACTGGGGATGAAGTTTGGGATTCAGTGCTTTTAATAAGCACCCAACGTGATTTGCATAAACATTAAAAGTTTGAGAACCACTACTATTTCATCTGCTCAGGCCAGTTTTGTACAAATCTAACAAGATAAATCTATAACCTGCATTAGAAAAAAGTTCAAATTATTTGTACTTTAAAGAGTAGGTCAGTTTTATTACTTTTGCATATGAACATCAACATATTTATTCACATGGTTTTCACAAAAAAGAAAAAGTGAGTTACATTCGGCAGTGGAACTAAGTAAAAATGAAACCTATCCAATGATCTAATTTAATTTTCAGAGGTCTTTTTGGGGGATTTGCATATTTGAATTATAACCCTTATTTCTCTTTCCCTTCTTGGTTCTGTTCAGTGGATCATAAAGGCAAGGCTCTCTAGTTATATGGGGAATAAAGACTGCTTTTATTAATATGGGCAAGTTTAAGCTTGAGTCCCAGGTGAGATGACTTTTTTACCATTCAGATATGGACCTTGGGACTCACATGTTCACATGTGCCACAGTGGGTACTCAAAGGAATGTGTGGGGGAGCAGTGGAAAGAGAAAAAACTAAATTTGTCTACTTTTATTCTGCATGGATAAAGATTACAGAAGGCGAGCCCTGGACCTTAAGTAAGTGGGTATACCTCATGAGAGAAAAGAAAATACAAATATATCCTGCCCCTCAATAAAGGAAACAAAAGAAGAGTGGGCAAGAAGACAGATGGTTCAATATATCTGAGTTCAAGAGTGAGGAGTAAGCAGTCAGCCTGGTTCCTGCTTTTGAGTTACAATAACCCCACCTGCTGGTAACCATGGCTCACTGCATGTCTTGCACCGTCCAGTCAGATCAGCCACTCTGTTCCCTTGGGATGAAACGTGCAAGGGGGTGGAAAGAGACCACAAGTATTCCTCCCATTTCACCACCGTGTATAGAAAATAATAGAAGTCCTCTTCTACAAGCACCTATAGAGGAGACAAGTTTCTACCACTTGAGGTTTCTCTAGCATTATTTATACTTTTCTTTTTGCTATTAAATCTTATAGTGTTATTGATTATATTACCTATGAAGCCATGTTGAAAAGACCTAAGACATTTGAGGTAACTCTCCTAAGATTCAAGATTAGTACCATGGCAGGTAGGCTGTAGCCAAATAGAATGAACCTTTGAAATCTCAAATCACTGGCACCAAATCAGATCTTACCAGAAGGACTCTTTCCTGATTATCCTTTAGCTCCTTACCTACCTTTCCAAGTAAAATGTCGAGTTAACAGGTAGAAACTACTTTTACTTTATTTCTTCTCATAGCCCTTGACTCGAGAGAAAATCTAAGCAGTTGTGGAATCAGTATCACAGTAGAAAGTGTATTATATATAAAATACAAAAACATAAAATATAGTTTTCTCCTTCCTATGCCATCTTCACCTCCACCTCCTCCCCGTTCAGCTCTTAAGTTCAACATGTCCAAGCCACAGCTCTTGTTTTCTTATGTATTTCATTATCCTTATTTTTATCATAATAAAATTGCTAGGATCATCCAGACTCATTTCCCAGGAGAAAAATCAAGTAAGTGTAGTCAGACTTTCTACTTTACTGGACTTATTTGGCTTGCTCATACTTCCCTAGACAGACAAATGCATGTATAATGGAAGAAATATACCTATATTATATATTCTGCTAAATGCATAGCCATACTGTGTAAGACTATATTTTTTTAATTGAAGAAAATTCATGTCATTATGATCTAAGACCTTTGCTATAAAACAGATCATTTTTCTCTGAAAAAGTTGGTACTCAAATTATTGTAGAGGAAAAGTATTCATTGATAAGATCTCAGTGCAGTGTTTGTACTCTGTATACCATATTAATAGTAGATTCTCTTTAGAATCTGCTGCATTGACTGTCATAATTATTCCCTTTTGTGTTTATAGAGACTTCATGCTACCCATAACTTGATGGAATTGCTGATAGCCAAGCATCCAGGGATACCTCCTACCTTGCGAGATGGCAGACTTGAGGAAGAGGTAATTTTTTTTTCCGTTGTCTGTAAAAGTTTATTTTTTGAAGCTTTTTGCTTCATCTAATTGATATTTCATAGGACATACAACATTTAAATAAAAGTAAGCATGTTTTCCTGTTGCTTTGATGTTCCAAACTTTGGTGTGGTAACTTGGGGTGGCAGAGAATGGCAGTATTCCATATTATTTTGCTTCCCGGATGTTTGTTCTAGATATGAAAAGTTTTGTACTTTCTCCATTTTGTATATTATTTAAGGCAGTAAGTAAACAAAGTAATGCTGTCTACCCTAAGTGAATCAGTGTATAGTATATGCATATATTGAAACAACACAGTGTACCCCACAAATATGTACAAATAAATGTTAAAATTGTGTAAGCTAAAGCCCCCCCAAAAAAGTGATATTATAAATTATTTTACAGTAAATTGTATGGCTTGTTATGCTAATTTTCCCAGGGACTTTTGCCTTTTTTTAAAAGATGAAAGAAAAAGGGCAAAGCTAAAATCAAAAGTAGATAAGTCTGAAATGTATTGAACCCGTAAGTGGAGATCTTATTTGAATCAACAAGATAAAAAGTGAGATTGTATAAGTATGTGCAACCCTTTCACTGCTCTGGTGGTTTTGTTTTGTTTGTACACTATTTATTTTAATTGACAAATGAAAATTACATATATTTATGTTATATGACATAATGTTTTGATATACGTAGACATTGTGGAATGGCTAAATCAAGCTAATTAATATATTCATTACCTCACATACTTATTTTTTTGTTGTGAGGACATTGAAAATCTATTCTCTTAGCAATTTTTAAGTATGTAATATCTTGTTATTAACTATAGTCACTGTGTTACGTAATAGATTTCCTGAATATATTCCTTCTGTCTAACTGAAATTATTGTGTCCTTTAACCAACATCTCCCCAATCTCTCCAGCTCCTGGTGTCTACCATTCTGCTCTCTGCTATGAGTTCAACTTTTTTAGATTACACATATAAGTGAGATCATGAAGCATTTTTCTTTCTGTGCCTGGCTTGTTTCACATAATTTCCTCCAGGTTCATCCATGTTGCTGTAAATGACAGCAGGATTTCCTTCTTTCTTGAAGTCTGAATAGTATTCGTGTGTGTGTGTGTGTGTCTGTGTGTGTGTATGTGTGTGTACATACATACATACATACCACATTTTCTTCATCCATTCATTGGTTAATGGACACTTAGATTGATTCCATGTCTTGGCTATTGTGAATAATGCTGCAGTGAACATGGGAATACAGATATCTCTTTGACACACTGATTTTATTACCTTTAGGTACATACCCAGAAGTGAAATTGCTGAATCATGTGGTAGTTCCATTTTTAATTTTTTGAAGAACCTCCACACTGTTTTTCATAATGGCTGCACTAATTTATATTCCTACCTACAGTGTGCAAGTGTTCCTTTTTTTTCCACACCCTTACCAAAACGTGTTAACATTCATCTTTTTGATAATAGCCATCCTAACGGGTGTAAGGTGATACATTATTGTGGTTTTAATTTGCATTTCCCTGATGATTAGTGATGTTGAACATCATTTCATATACCTCTTGGCCATGTGCATGTCTTCTTTTGAGAAATGTCTTTTCAGGTTCTTTGCTGTTTTTTAATTAGAATATTTGTTTTCTTGCTCTTGAGTTGTTTGAGTTACTTATATATTTTGGATGTTAACTTCTTATCAGATATATGGTTTGCAAACATTTTTTCCCACTTCGTAGGTTGTCTCTTTACTCTGTTGATTGTTTCCTTTGCTATACTTTTGACTGCACTGTTCTTGATGTTAGATGATAGTCTTAAGTGTTGGAAGTTTTTGAGTGAAATTTTATTCCCAGTATAGGCATCTAATCCTTGCATATGATCACTCTTCATAAACATGCTTTCAGTGATGGGAAACTATCCCTGGGAGACAGCCCAGTCTGTTTGTAGACAGTCTAATGACCAAATATACAACACACACACACACACACACACACACACACACACACAATCCCTGGGAGACAGCCCAGTCTGTTTGTAGACAGTCTAATGACCAAATATACAACACACACACACACACCCCTCACCAAGGAATTGTAATAAAAATTAATTGGAATGTTATGACAGGAAAAGGAAAAATGCATCATGAGGAGTGTTCATACTGTATAGTTGTATTTCCAAGAAGGACACATTATCACTTTGCCTAACTTTAATAGAATATGAAGCCACTGTATTTCAAAGCTAGACGAGATCCTAAAATTCATCTACTTCAATCACCTCCTTTTGCAAATGGAGAAACAAAAGCCCAGGGAAGTGAAATGGCTAGTCCAAAGAGATATATCTATTCAATTGAGCCATATGAAATTGCCATTTTGTAAGTGGAAGCAACAGGATTTCCAGTTCAGTAGTCTTTCTGGTTTTTCTCCCACTACCCCACGTAGCCTCTGGTCCTCATGCTTTATTCATAAAATTATTTCCAGAGCCAGTTGAGTATTTCAGTTGGATGGAAGAAAGTGAAGAATTTTCTTAAGTTTCCTAATGGGAGTTTATAAGAATAAAATATTTCTATTTCTTGTAAATTATGTCATCATTATTCTCTTGCAAAGTTGAAAAGGTAGGAATTTTTAATTCTCTGTATTAGTCCACAAGGGCAATAGAGTACCATAAACCGGGTGGCTTAAACAACAGAAATTTATTTCTCATAGTTCTGAAGGCCAAAGTCCAAGATCAAGGTGTTGGTAGGTTTGGTTTTTCCTGAGGCTTCTCTCCTTGGCTACAGATAGCTGTGGCTGCCTTCTGTGTCCTCACATGGCTTTTCCTTTCTGCTCATATATCTCTGGTTTCTCTCTTTGTAGAAGAACACCAGTCTTATTGGATTAGGGCCCTACCCTTATGATTTTATTTAGCCTTAATTACATCCTTAAAGGTTCTGCCTTAAAATATAGTCACATTAGGGAATCGGGCTTCAGCATACGAATTTTGGGGGAAACAATTCAGTCTGTAACATCTGTGTTACTGTATATTCTTAAGTGTTATTTTTAAACTGCAGTGACTCCAAGAAACTGTGACAATTTAATCAGATAAGAAATCCTGAGAGGTGTCCTTGCTTTGCCTCATAATTTGAAATATTACTGTTCTTTTTTCCCCCTTCATTTTTTCTAATTGAAAAACTAGTTAGAAATTTGGGATTTCTTAAATTTTGTGACATGGACAGGTAAATTTTGTTCTCTTCAGTGTGTATCTTAGTAATTTTTAGCATGACATTTTTGCTGTCTATAGTACACAAGGGTACTTCAGAAAGTTCATGGAAAAATTGAATTAAAGGATAGTACACATCTGTTCATGAACTTTTTGAAGACCCCTCATACTTATAAAGTTTTATATTTAAATCAAGTTAAGTAGCTTTTAATATATAAAATGATCACATTGTTCTTGAAACAGCATAATAAATTATTTTTTAGACCTGGAGTGAAAGTTTATATTTGTTTTCTGTTTCAACACAGGCCAAACAACTGCGAGAGCACTATATGAGCAAGTGTAATACAGAAGTTGCAGAAGCCCAGCAAGCTTTACAGCCTGTGCAGCAGACCATACGTGAGCTGCAAAGAAAGGTACATCCCCAAAATGTAATGTTTCTTACTTGTGTTTGTCTCCAGATATCATTTTAGTTTTTGTTCTGTTTGGGGAGAAACTTAGTTATTTGTCTTGAACTTATTTATCTTGGAATTCTTAGCACCTAGTACAGTGTCTTTTCCAAAAATATAAGTTTATTTCCTTTTAGCAATGTTTATTGGCTGAACGAATGGATGCATAGGTAAATAAACTATTAAAAGGTTCTCTTTTATTTCTTCTGAGCTATGATGGGTTTCTTCCCACCTTAAGTATATAACAAGGTGTCTTTTGAAGAAAGTAAAGACATCTATAACCTCCTTTTGATCTTAGATGTATACGTTTCCAAAATCTTTTAAAATGTTAGAACATTAGAATAACATTTTTCTTATGTCATTCATGCCTTTTGTTGTTTCTAAAATTTCTTTTCTGTGAGATCAGTAGCAAAGTCTGAAGACTAGAAGTCAACACAAATACACTGTCTTTCACTTTTCAATTTTTTAATCAGTTGCTTCACATTTTATTCTTCCTTATTCATTAATTATTTAGTATTCAGGCATGTTATTTTGTTAGTTATTGTAGATTGCTCACTGAGTAGAATCTAGTTCAGTTAGTCAAAGATTAGAATGAAGGCTTTGTTATGATGAGAAAGAGATCTATGACCTATTTACTTGTACTGAATTTTTATTTTGGTTTTTTTTTTTTTAGTACTGCTTTGTAATACAAGTGTATACAATAAATTCTCATTCATCCAGAGTAAAGGAAATAGGTGTTCTCTTTAATTATGCATGCAAAAGAGGTATTTACCCATTTTATATAGACTATGTATATTTGTCTCTCCCCTCTGTTATAATCCCTTTGAGAAGCATTTATTGCTTCCTTTGAATTTTTCACATCACCCTTACCAATGATGGAAGCATAGTAAATGCAAAAAAATATACATTAACTGATGAACTGTTGTGTTTTTTACAGATGCATTCTAATTCTCCTTGGTGGCTGAATGTGATCCACAGAGCAATAGAATTTGCTGTTGATGAGGAACTTGCTCAGAGAGTGCGAAATGAAATAACTAGCAACTATAAGCAACAAACTGGCAAGCTTTCTATGTCAGAAAAGTAAGAAAATAGTACAAAACAGAATAACAGTATAAGTAATCACCCCAAATATTCAGGTCATTTGATATTAAGAGGTACGATTAAATGTCAGAACATATTGTAGTTATGAGCATCTGGGTTTCACATTTTGTTAAAAGTGCATTTCAAACAAAAATATCAGGTACGTCTAAAAGAAAGACCTTTTACCCATATATTGGCCATTTAAAAATATTCTCTTTTTAATGCCTTTTTAAAATCTGCTTAAAGTATTTTCTTTATTGGATATACCTAAAGCCAACTTAAAGCAAAATTTTGAAACAGGCTTTGTCTGGAGAATTTTGTCCCTGACTTAAGGTATTCATGCTTCCCCTGTCTGATTCGTTCCCCAAGAGCTAAGCATTATAGTGCCACAGTGGTCCAGGTTTTACAGAGTTACCTGCTGTCTTCTCCTCAACTCTCACCGTTCTTCAGGGTCTTCCGAGATAAGTTGGCCTATTGTTCTTGATGTACAAATGGTGAATAATTCTTCCCAAAGAACATACTTATGGGCCGGCCCGGTGGCGCACTACTACAGTGCGCCACTTGGGAGCGCGGCGGCGCTCCCGCCGAGGGTTCGGATCCCACATACAGACTGGCCGCTCACTGGCTGAGCGAGGTGCGGGAGCAACACCGAGGGTTGCGATCCCGTTGCCGGTCCCGGTCCGGTACGGGCGCAACACTGAGGGTTGCAGTCCGTTGCCGGACACGAAAAAAGACAAAAAGGAAAAAAAAAAAAAGAACATACTTACTCGTTATCAAAAGTACCTTCACTGGTTTAACCCAAAGGAATTTCTGCCTAATGTAGGGAATTTAATCAACAGAAGTGTTGATTCTAGGTGGGGGGAAAGAGAGTATCTTTTATTGCCTCTCATATCATACCCTTATGTAAGGTCAACCTTGGGAATGATGTTAGTTTTCAGTGAGAAATTCAGTATATTTTTGAAATGTTTTAAAGTGTTTTAATTTACTCTTCCAAAAGGTGGCTGAAAGCGATATGTGACATTTTCCATGTATTTTATTATAATCATTATCTTTTTGACCATACAAAACCTTATGGGTTTCTTGTTTCTGAGGTGTATGCAATATATACATATATATGTACATCCATAATATATACATCCATACATATATATATATATGCTGTTGAGTGCCCTTTCTTTTTTCCTATTAAGCCCAGGAATCACTGTTCTAGGATAAGTTGCCATTTTAGTCATGATTCATTTTATCCTATTTTAAAGCTATGTCTTAGTGTATTCTGCCAGCATTGTAGAATCACCTAAGAAAATATTAAAATTACTTTCAAGTTGTTTTTCTTAAATCACACAGAAACTACTTAAAACATGTAGATTCTCATATTAGAACACATTCTTATTGAATGTTTTGACGTCCCAGGGCTGTAAAAGGACCAATAGGAAATATAAAACATACCATTTATTACACATTCTTTTCAAAAACATTACAGAATAGCAAAACATAAAATGCCTATTTCCAAGTTAATTTTTTTACATTACTATATATTTAGAGATTATTTTAACATTGTTGTCTATATTAATGTATGAAATTGATATCTCAAAAGCCAAATTATTTGTGTTTTTTTGTTAATGATTATTGGGAAAGGCTTTGTAGCTTAGCAATTAAGAGCACCAGTAGGTTCTGTAGTGAGACTGCTGTGTTCATATCCCAGCTCCACCACTTACGACTGTGTCCTTGGAATAATTATTTAAGCTGTCTGTGTTTTAGTTTCTTTGTCTATAAATCCACACACCATTGTTGTAAGAATTAAATAAGTTACTATTTGCGATGCACTTACTTAGAGTAGTGCCCACTATTTAGTCTGGCGTTTAAGAGCTACCTGCTATTATTTTTATTATTTTCTTGTCTTTTATTTAAAGGACCAGCAAGAGAGAACATTGCTAAGACTAGTTAAATGCTGATCTGTGATAATATTTTTCAACACCATTCACATCACTCAAACATGAATTACTAGAGAGAAACTTTCCATTTACTTCTTTCCTTTGCTTCTAAAGTTAATTTTTGAAGAACAATTTAAATTTTAGTAAGTTAGTAATAAAAACCTTGTTTTCTTTTTGTGAATGTTATTAATACCTAACCTAATTTTATTAAGGTGTCTATGCAAATAATTTGTTTTGGAAATTATTGAGCAGCTATTCTGTGCCTATTACGTATGTTTTAAGAAAAAGGCTATGATACAATTCTTACCTTCTAAACATTAGCTCGTGAGAAGACAAGACCCATTAACAATTTGAGTATGTATGAAAACTGGAAATAGCAAAGTACTAAAATGAATGTTTTCAGTAAACTCTATGGACAGAAAGAAACATAGATTAGTGTTGGGAAATATTGGGAAAGGCTTCAGGAAGGAGAGCGGGCTCTTTTGAACAATTTGGAGAGGAAGGCATATGATGTTTCAGGAAGGAGAAGTATAAACTCTTAACTTAAAAAGCAAACAGATCCTCTTTGTATTTTCCAGTTTCTAATTTCTTAACATTCTAGGCCTTCTTTTTTCTTTCTTAAACTCACGTACACACATCCATACATTTTTTTCAGCCCTTTTCAATTATCAAAATTGTTAAGAGCACTGTATTTGGATTTAACTCCTAACTCCGCCACATAATAACTTTGTGACTTCAGTTACCCTAATTTGTTATGCTTTATCTATAACATGAGCATGATAGTAACTACTGAAATTATATAGAAGTGCTTGACAAAGTGCCTGGCATATAGTAAATACTTAATTAAAAATTTAATTAATTATATTTTTTTCTTTGCAATTAGGAATGTAGTAGCTCTTGGCCATTTTTCTTCTTTCTTCCCAAGTTTCTGTCCTTGTGTTTCATCCTACAGTCACCTCTCCATAAAGAGCCAAGGATGTCAGGAGGGACATCCGTAGTTAGTCAGCCTTAAAAAGGAAGAATGTGGGAATCTTGATGTTTCAAAGATATCCTAGACAGAGACATAGATTTTCCATACTCTTTTTCAGTTCCTGAGCACAGGACTACCAAACTTATTTAGTATCTTTTGTAGTAGACAACCCAATGTTATGTCTTGACTACTAATAGATACTAGCACTAGAATACATTCCTAAGGAGAACTCACTCAAGTGTGGCAGGGTAAGTGTAGCACACAGTTTCTTTAACACTTCTCTTGAGAGCCATTTTCTGATTTGAGGAAATTGACCTATTACTCTTTTCTTTGTGTTGTGTGTGGTGCTGGTGATGGAAATCAGGTTCCACGACTGCAGAGGTCTTCAGTTCTTACTTACAACACAAATGGAAGAGCTTAATAAATTCCAGAAGCTAGTAAGAGAGTCTGTAAAAAACCTGGAAGGACCTCCATCTCGTAATGTTATTGAATCTGCAACAATCTGCCACCTCCGACCAATCAGACTTCCTCTCAACTGGTAGGTAATAGTTGAAATCTTACAGTCAAATGGCATCATTTCATTCAGCTATATTTCTTCTGAGAGATGGAACAATGGCTCATATAATACAGCTTTTTTCACTTTAATTCAGATAGCAGTAGAAAGAGATGTATTATTAATCTCAAAAAAACCCCAAAACTCAAGGGGCATGTACGGAAAACCATGTTTGTTTGTTTGTTTCTTTCTTTCTTTCTAAAATGGCATGTCTGTTGTAAAGAAAAAATGAAGTACAAAATACTAAGCCTCTCTTAGAAATTACCTGGTTGATGGTTTGGTTTATGAATATGTCTTTGATAATCTCTTCTTTTTCAGCTGTGTCTTTTGTAAAGCTGATGAATTGTTCACGGAGTATGAATCAAAGCTATTTTCTAACACGTAAGTTTTCTATTTAATGATTACCCATCAGGAAAATGAAAATTTCACAGGACTTGGTATTTGATTATAAGATTATATTTTCCTCAGAGTGATTTGTCATATATTATTTCTTTTATTAAATCAATTCAGCAAACCTTTGGCATTCTATATGTAACATGCTCAGTTTTACCTATGGAAAAATTACCTCCTAGATGTTCATTTAGTAATATGTAATTAATCAAGGGGCAGTTTAAAGGAGTGGTAAGATCCCAGGCTCTAGAGTCAAATGGATTTGAACTGAACTCCTGCCCACTGTTGTGAGCAAATTACTTCTTTAAATCTTAGTGTCCTCATTCATGAAATAAGAAAATACACGTAATTGTTTAGCATAGTGCTTGGTATATAGTAAGTATCCTATAAAATGTTAGCTCTCATTATTAATACCCATTCTGTAACACAAAGTATTCATCCTTGTGATGGGGATTGAAGCTGCTTAGTGAGTGCATATAACCATGGCATTAGCAAAAGTATCTCTATTTTACAAACATGGAAATTGAGAAAAATCTAAGATCTGATTGCCTGGGATTGACATTGTACAGTTTAGTCATAGTATTTTTGTGGGGGTGGGGTTCTTGTTTTTTTTTTCTTTTACATGGTGGTTGTTGGTGATGGCTTATGTTTTCATTCTCAAAGTGAGATTTATAGCCTGGAATTTATAGATATTTTCTTATTATGCCAGATTGCTCTCAAGAAACACGAAAAATTTATGATGCTTCCAGCATTTTCATAGTTGATCTGGTTTTTCCAGTCTTGTAGATATGATGTTGAAAGTCCTTGAAGTTATTGACCTTGTTTCCTTACTTGTTCTGCTAATATTACTCATTTACAGTGCTTCTCACCTACTGACAGTAGTTACTGTTGTTCTGGTATGTTTCAGAGTCAAAGGCCAAACTGCAATATTTGAGGAGATGATAGAAGATGAAGAAGGACTGGTGGATGATCGAGCACCTACCACCACCCGGGGTCTGTGGGCAATAAGTGAGACAGAGAGATCTATGAAAGCAATACTATCATTTGCAAGATCACATAGATTTGATGTTGAATTCATTGATGAAGGAAGTGTTTCAATGGATCTATTTGAAGCATGGAAGAAAGAATACAAGGTACAGTATTTTAAAACTTCCTTTCAATATTAAAAGTTCTCCTCCTTTACATTAATTTTAATTGCTAACATTCCTCTTTCTCTTCATTTTTTAAAATCTGCTTTAGGGGCCGGCCCGGTGGCGCACTGCGCTAGTGCGCCACTTGGGAAGTGCGGAGGCGCTCCCGCCGAGGGTTCGGATCCCACATACAGACCGGTTCCCGCTCACTGGCTGAGCGAGGCGCGGGGGCAACACCAAGGGTTGCGATCCCGTTGCCGGTCCCGGTCCAGTGCGGGGACGACACTGAGGGTTGCGATCCATTGCCGGACACGGAAAAAGACAAAAAAAAAAAATCTGCTTTAGAGAATTGAGGTGTCATAACTTCTCTTTCCCTAAAATGTAATTACTGTAATAAAGAATAATAAGTACAATAATACTTGACAGAAAAAGACATTCTATTATTAAATTACTACAAGAAAATCATTCTTAAACTGAAACTTATATGAAATCCAGTGAATAAAGTACTAAGTGGCCTTTCATATTTATACTTTAATGATTTCATCATTATAAGTCTGTACTTGAGATGAGATTCCAGAATTCATTAATTTTGAACTTTTTTTTTTATATTTGGGTTCGTTATCTATTATCTTGTTTCATAGGTGAGATGGGTAGGGGAAGGAAAGAGTGTTTCGTTTATTTATAAATGTCATAATTTCATTTGATATCTTTTTTAATCTAAAGTTCTTTTTAAAGCAGGATAAAATGTTTATGCAGAAAGTTAAAATATGTTGTCTGTAATATCAGTTCATATGTTTGATAAAAATTGGGAAATATGTTCATAAAGTCAAAATCATGGGTTCATTATAATTTTTTTCATCACACGTTACTGTTATAAATACAAAGCACATTAACCCAGTTAATTACATCAATCCATGGAAGAAGACAGTATTTTATACAGTGTCAGTTACCCCTGTATTCTTCCTTTGGGCTCAGTTTGGCCACATGCTCTGTGTCCAGAGTGTATATTGTGCAGATCTCCCAGATCTTTGTGCATTTTTTCTTTATAACTTTACAGACTAAATCATTTCACTGAAAAGCAAAAGAATGAGCTACAAGTATACACATCAAACAATTTACCTCAAAATATAAAATTAGTGAAGAAAGCATGTCAAAAAAATTATACTGATTGATACCATTTCTATAAATTTTAAAAACATATATAAGCAAATTATTAAGGATAACTGTATGTAGTACTGGAATGATAAGTGCAATTTGGAATAGAAATTGCTTCACTGTTGACTGTTTGAAGGAAGAGTGTGTGAAGAAAGAGAGTGATACAATTGAGAAGAAACATACAAAGGCTTTCCAAGGAATTTATATTATTCTCTTTCTTAAAATGTGTGGTTGGGGGCCGGCCCGGTGGCACACTGGATAGTGCGCCGCTTGGGAAGCGCGGCAGCGCTCCCGCCCGAGGGTTCGGGTCCCACATACAGACCGGTTCCCGCTCACTGGCTGAGCGAGGCGCGGGAGCAGCACTGAGGGTTGCGATCCCGTTGCCGGTCCTGGTCCGGTATGGGGGCAACACTGAGGGTTGCGATCCGTTGCCGGACACGGAAAAAGACAAAAGACAAAAAAAAAAAAAAAAAAGAATAAAA